TCATGGGGCCCAGGACCTGACTACCGCCCAATTCAGCCCTACTCGTATCACTATCAGTCCTGGCCCTGCTGATAAACTGCATGAAACACGTAATTAAGGCCCTACTCTGCGTTTCTGCAATCAGGTTTCGATAATCTTGTCTCAGCTGTCGTCTTTTCTCATGATTGTCTGCTTCCGATTGGGTACTTGACGAGCTCGCCATTTTGCTCCCCTCTCTTCATCAGCGTTTTCTTCTCCAGACAGCTCAGAGGGGCAAATTAACAAGATTGCGTACAAATATAATGCAGACTACGCTGAGTAGATTATTTATCTCAGCGCGCGATGTACATGTACAGTGTATATTGTATGGTGTATGTGTGTTCAGTAAAATACACGTTTTCTCCATTAGCTAGCTTCGCGCATTATAGATTATGTCAACACTGAATGTTATTCTATCAGCAAATATGGTTGGCTGGTATTTATCATTTAGAGCAAGGGAATTTAAACACATTTTGTTAAAATTTCTGAGTTTGTCCAAGTTTTTCACTAAATGATATTAATTATATCTATTTATTTCAAATAAATTTATATCAACCTCCTTTATATTCAATAAAAACCAATTTTATTAAAACATTTAATTCCCACTTTCTCCAATCAAATAGTGCTTTACTTAACTCTTGCCGGTCAGATCGAATATAACTGGACGCATGCGCAGTCAGATGGAAAAGCAAATAGGCCGCAAACGGTCATGGATTCAAAAACGTCTCGACAGAATTTCGGTGGCCCGTTGGACACCCATCAGCATTTGTATCTGATTTCTTTCAAAAATAAGGTGGGTTTCTTTTCATTTTATTTGATTGTTCAAAAGGAGATGAAAATTTAATTCTGTTACATATTATCTGCCGCGTTGATTTTGCTGTTCTCGATTGGCTTCCTGTTGTTTAGTAAAAAACTGACCCGATACTCAATACATGTACACGTATGTATGTACTGTAGGCTGCCTGCACAAAATAGATAGTAGGCCTTCCATGTTTCACTAGATAGGCCTATGCGTGCACGGCATCTGTATTGCGCTTTGCCTGATATTACATGTACAGTACATGATGTACAGCACATGTAGGTCTACGCCTCGCCCGAGTCCAGCTGTCATCTCGCATGCATGGTCAGGGAACGGTTCTTTTTGATGTAGTGTAGGCTTGGTACTGGTGGTAGGCCTAGGGCCTAGCTACACCAGTTTTAGATTAATTAAGAAAGAAAAAAAAAATGCAAGAAAACCTCTTCGAATGATGTCATTTGCAATTGAAATTACATGTAGGCCTAGGCCCCCTACATCATATGGTGATGTAGGCCCATGACTGTGTTGCAGGCTTTACCATACTGATGCTACCTGCATGTACCAGTACCAGCTGACAACCCGTAGACCCTACATGCACATGTACTAGCCCATTTTTCTGAGAAAGCGCTCCTCAAGCATGTCAAGGTGATATTAAAGGGTGCATTCCATGGCTACATTTCTCCACACGAGTTCATTAAATGATGATATTTATTTTGTGATCCCACAGATTATCAACAGTAAAATCATAGACATTGTTGGGCAATATTGTCCCTCTTTCCGGGAATAGGTTTTGTCCCCAAATGAAGGGACTTCCTGGAATACAGGGACAGTCCCTGAGTTGTGATGTGTACATTACATTTACATGTGCATGTACCTCTCTACAAAGACAATATGTACTCCCAAGACTCCTCTAGGCTCTACCGGTTAAAAAGGCGATTCGTTGGGTCCCATCAACATGGTAGACTGACTATGTCCAAATGTTAATATACATGTAGGCGATTTGCAGGGTTAACTTCCAGTAATGCAGACTAGTTGGTCACTCGTCATGGTCATACATGTACTTTGTATTTAAAGTTATGTTCAATGAAGAAAGTGCCAGTGTTGTACATGTATGTTTGGAAACTCTGCCATCTTGCACGTTCTGTTTCTGTCCTGACCTTTTCATGTCTGTCATGTCTATTAATGTGTATAGGACGTATAGCTCAGCCTGGCTGACTGAGCAGTAAGACGAAGGCCTACATCAGTAAGTTTTTCCCTGCAGCAGTAAACATGATACCAGTAAATCAACCATCAGAAAGCAGTGATGTCCTTAAATGTCAGATTCACATGTACAGGGTGTAGCAGGGAAAAATTTTGATTACTTGGAAAGTTTTCTGAGAGTCTCATACGATGGGGTCTGAGCATACATGTAGGGTGTCAAGTGATGTTGGCATGTGGGAGTCTTTCTGACGTACATGTACTGAGTCATTGACCAGTACATGTATCTGTTGCATGGGTTTGATCTGATCAGATCTGATCTGGGTTTTCAAACGTGTCCAAGTCTGTTTATTGCAACCACAAACATAATGAGTCAGGAAATTCAACATGTTAGCAGCATTGAGTAAAATAAAAATTATGTCAAAGTTTCAACCTCATACTGAAAATTCTAAATGTTACAAAACCTACTGGTATAATTTCTGGTAATAATTTAGTTGAACTAAAGTACACTTCTCTGCTGTGGCTTAATTTTGGCATGTTGATATTCGTACACGTGTGGTATTGATGCAGCAATGCTGTAGGCACATGTATAACACATTACAGGTAGCAACATATTTTTCAAAATGAAAAAGAAATTTGCTATTTCCTTGCAAGTCAACAAGACTTCTTCCTTTTTCCAAGAATTTTTCCTTTGAGAAGAAACAAAAAACCAGAAAACAAAGGCACAAAAAATCCTGCTGGGCATGACACTGTGATGGGGTAGGATTTTGAAGTTAAGATGAAGTGAAATTTAATTGGTCTAAACTGACTCTGAACAGACTCAATTTATTTTTAAATCTATACATGTGTACTCATTAAAATCTTCCATTTTTCAAACAAAACTCATGAAGTACATGTATTTCCAAGTTGGTGGTTAGATTTTCTGGACTCTTTCTGATATTGTGTCTAAACTCTAAAGTAAAGCAGCTTAAACTCAGACAGATTTTGAATTTACATGTAGATCTGTTTTGGTACCAGTACATGTACATACATGTATTTTGTTCGTAACAAATGGTAAAATACATGGAAACTTTAACCCAAAAGGGGGAGGGGTTAAAAAAAAGGTGCCAAGGTTAAATGGAAGCAAGAGGGGACAAAAACTAATATTTTTTTTACTAGGCCTTATTCGGATTGATCACTGAACAACAGCATGATGACACAGAAGGAAAGAACGGTTGACCTGCTAGGGACATACATATACATGTGCAGGAGCTAAATTTGGGTAATAGTATTTCTGACATAGTACATGTATCTCTTACAAGAAGAAGTGGGTCAGGCATCCTCACATAGGTGTACGTGTGTCAGGATGATCAACCGGACATGTCTGGGGAGATCTTGGTACTGAGTAAAAGGATGTTGCCATTCTGCTTCAAGAATGAAAAAAATACCTACTTGCACAGTGTACATGTACCTGTACCGTAAATTTATCCTTGACCATTTCTTTTTCTAAGAAAAACATCTTAAGCTGTTGACAACTTGGGCTAGAGGTACATGTACATGTATGACAGTTGTTTATGTGACATCATATGTTTATGTCTTCATCAACTCAGTGTGTATCTCAGCAGGCTCACTCCTAACCAGTGATTCATCATGCACAGTTCATGGTTTATTTAATTGAATCCACACCACAGGTGCACATGTACATGTAGATGGCATGTTTCATTTGGCCCATTATTCAGGCATCTAGATCATCTTTCATTGAATGTTTATTTTACTATCACTGGACTGTAAACCATAAGTGTCAAAATGGGCCAACAATGCAAATTTACATGTGTTCAAATAAACTCCATGGAAATAAATACATTCCTCTTGTGCACTGTATTCATACATACTATTCTAATAAAGTTCATGAGTTAAGTTTATATAGATGCCACCAATAAGTCCAATATCAAGATATAATCGTTATTTTTTTATTCAAAGAAGGTACATTGTTACATAAAATATGACAGCTTGGTATTGGTACATCAGACGTAGTGGGTTTTTTCGGGGGGGCGTAATGCAACAGTTGTACATACATGTACATGTATTTAGATCTGTGATGAAAGGCTAAAGCAGCATTTTGTTAAAAGTGCACCTATTGTACTCCAGACCTTGAGACTATACAGTATTCACATACATGTAAATATGCACAATACAATACATGTACCGTAAGTAACATGACAGTCATAGTAGGCAAAATATTTGTGTTCCCACATGTATATTGTGCATAATGCTTCAATGTACATGTACATGTACAGTACAACTGCAATGTTTACTGCTAAATATTGTCTTATAAAAAGACTATAATCATTTCTGTAAACCTTGCCAACTTCATTTTCCATGCCAGTACCGTCACGAGAGTGTACTACACACAGTGCTTTGATGCTTTCAAAATGTTTCTTCCATGTGCATCTATTCAATTCCATGTGATTATTCCAGTTGGTATGGCATTCTCTTTTTGCCCCCTTTGGATGAGTCATCAGTTATGCAGTCATAGTCCTGTTAGTTTCGTGACTTAAAGACAGTCTGAGAGACTGCCTAAGGACTTAAGGATGTGAAGTAGGACGTCTGTGTGTTCATCATTATCTCTGATTCACTGATTTTGTGTGGTAGTCTGGAAATTAATAAGTACATTTACATGTATGAAATTATCCCTGTCCAGAATATTAAGGTATCCTTGGGGATTTTAGTTTAATGCTACAGTACACACATGTACATGTATGGGTGTGTGTGCAGTAGGCTTGTGATAATTTCAAGCCTGAATGCTTTATATTCAATCATACTGTGATATTAGTCACTCTTTTTAATAAGGTAATGTGGTTACAATTAGGCCAAATAAAAAAAAATATGAAGCAGTGTCTTGTCTCTGCCAGCTTCCATTTTCCCCTACTATGGTGGCCCTGGAGGGACATCACCAATCGTCAATATTGATGTCAATATTTGCGACCAAATTTATGACCCACTCTACAGTCACAAATAGTACCATCAATAGTCTCAACCAAAATGCACTCGCTCTCTGGTCTCAAATATTGCTGTCAATATCTGTGACCAAAATTCATGACTTGCTCTAACGTCGCAAATATTGACACCAATATTTGCGACCAAATTCACGTCTCGTATCTCCTGCACAAATATTGCCGCGATTTTTTTCCAGCAAGCCAGGTAGAGAGAGAAGTTGCTTGGCTATAGACACAGCAGTTGCTTTTTAATATTGTGACTCATGCGTTGTGCCAAAACTGCCCATCCAAATAATGACTTGAGGTCAAGCCAAAAAATGTAGGTCATTGTGCCTGTGCATGAGCACTTCATTTCTGCCTAGCTTGCTGGGAAAAATTCGCGGCAGTATTTGCGACCGGAGATATGAGTCGTGAATTTTGTTGCAAATATTGACGGCAATGTTCGTGACCAGAGAGCAAGTCGTGAATTTGGTTGTGACTATTGATGGCAATATTCTCGACCAGAGAGCAAGTCATAAATTTGGTCACAAATATTGACATCAATATTGACGATTGGCGATGTCCTTCCAGGGTCACCATACCCTACTTACTGCCTCATTGTATTTTGTAATCAGCCATACATGTACATAGTACATGTTGCTTTTGAGCATATGTACAATGTACACACATGTACAATACTGCATGTACGTTGGGCCACTTGGGTGGGGTAAACTTTGATGCCACTTTGACTTTTTTGTGGGACTTTCAAAGAAAAACTATGCAGCAATTGGTAGAGGAATCTGTATTCGTTGTTTTTGATTGGTTATTTGGCATTGTAACAGGTCAACGATGAACATCAACCCCTTTTCACCAATTTGTAACGGCTCAAGCTCTGCCCACATATCAAGTGAAGAGAACATTGGGGGACTCTTCCAACCTACACTACCCCAGCCACTTCAACCTCAACCCCAGAGACCTGCCTTAGCACCCTTGTCGATACTGAAGACATCTAGCAGAGATAATATAATTGTATCACCACCAGCCAGTAAACATCTGAAGGTAAGTCTCCAACTCTCCATTCACTTCTTCAAACTGCTTTCTAATGCTATTGAGTGTAATTTTCATCGCAGCCTTTTTCCGAACCTGCGGTGCCAAGTTAAATTTCTTTTCATGTTTACAATGAGGCTAAACCTTCAACTAAAGTCTGACACCATTCACATCAATGATTAACAATTACCATCAACATATGTCACTGGAGCCTACCTGTCATGCACACGTACTCTCTCTGAGCCATAATTCATTGAATCTGCCTTCTGTTTGAAGATCAATGTGTTGCAGTCTTTTGCACAGACACATACATGTACACACATTTTGTGGTTTTATGCTTCCATGTGTCACAAGACCTTGTCTTGGCTGCCCATGTTGCTGAACTTGCATTTGGTGAAATCATTACCACCTACATGTATGTGCTATTTGATAAACATGTACTGTACTGGTACATATTTACCCATTTTTTCACCAAGGCATACATGTACGTGTAGTGTCTCATATACATGTATGTATGTAAAAAGCATCTGGCCACTCCATACAAGCTGTTAAATTACCCGGTAATCCTATGCACCTTAAATATGTACAATTTTAATTATGTGTCCATGTATGTACAGTACTGGTAGAGTATGGTGTATTGTACGGGCATTTTAACAGTTACAATTTTATTTGTATATGTCATGTACTGGTGGTGTTGCATAGTTTTTAGATATTTTTTATACCAGTCATTTAATTTTTCTGTTTGTGTGCGACCCCGTCATGAACACCATTGCGTACATATATATTTATCCGTCCAAGCTGTCTGTTGGACACAAAAGTGTGTCATGCCTTGATGCAGTTAAGTAGAACCAGCTAGCTTTCCTCTGCCTTGCATACCACACATAGCACTAAGGCCTGCAGTATTACATGTGTTGTGTATGGATAAGGAATGCGTTGTAATGCCAACAATGTGCATTGCTGGAGTAAACCAGGCTGTCAGGAGTGTCATCCTGATGATGGTTGACCTCCAGATGGTGGAGTACATGTACACACAGTACATATGCACACATACATGTACAGTGTACCGGTACATGTACGTACGGTGTACCCTATCCAGATGAAGTTCATGTACGTACATGTATATGATTCGTCTACTCGGTGTGTACAGATACATGTATCCTACATGCAAATGCATTGAAGTTCTGTACTGATGTTCCAAGAACCAGCACTGCGGTATCATTTTCTTATGCACTTGTTCTGTATGTGTATTGTTATGCCCCTGTGTAGTCTGGTGAGCAAGTCTGAGAAAAAATAGAATGTTTTGTGCTCTGTCCATGTAAATGATGGACATGTATAAACTGGATGTTAGATTAAATCTTTCTCTCAAACCTTTGCAGTTCAGTGTGTTTTGCATGTACATACTTTTGATAAGATAAACGTAAACAGTTTTTTCATGCAAATCAATTTTTAAAGTACCGGTAAATGTTTATTATAACAATGTTGCATTTGCATAAATTGGTTTGGATATTATAGCATGTGGTTTCCATGTCGACTATTGGATGAAGGGTCAGTTTGGCGTTACTTTTCACTTTGCTTGTTGGTTGATGCAGGATATTTCCTGGATTTGTCAATTGCTCTTTCCAAACCCTGTCTGAAGAATTCCCAATACCCTTATCATTTTAGCCCCTTCTGGAGTGCACCTGTCTGTAGTCATATTGCAACTAGCTGGCTTGTCAAAGCTGACATACTGATAGCTTTAATCAGGATATGTGTCATACTGGACCTCTTTAAAGGGACAAACCATGAACCAGGTCCACTGGTAGACGTGTACAGTATGAACCTGTACACCTGACCTGATATTATTGCTTAGATGCTTTAGATGCTATGTTGCCAGAGTGAACTCCGTCGTACATGTTATAGCCAGACTAATGTACATGTGCATTTTGCTGGTGTATGCGCATTATACACGTACATGTACACGTGAAGATGATGTACATGAAGGCTGAAGCATTTGCTGACCGCTCCAGGTTCTGGAGGTACAATGTTCATGTAGTTATGGCACACTGCTCAATGTGAAGACTGTATTACGTTGACTCTGTTTGTACTGGTATCAAAAATTGGCCCAAACATTTTTTGCTGTTTTATTCATAGACTACCCATGCTCATTCACATAAATGTTTGCCTCGATATTTGATCCTGCTAGAACTGCTCTTGAAAGGTCTGCTGCTCCTTTATTGTTCATTGACCTTCATAATGGACTCATCTTCTTCCTTCCGAATTGTAGCAGAATAAGTCCTAAGCCAGTTGGTCTTCTGAAATTTGGCTATAAATGACAGGTTCCTCTCTTAGAGAGCAGTGTCGTGCTTGGTGCACATGTACTGTATGTATGGGACTACTCATGTACATGCATCTGTAATCTCTCTTTTGATTTTTGTTATTATTCATTGATTTTAAATTAAAAACCAACCAACTACCAACCATGATGGTCATGCCAGTCATGGGTGATGTAAATTCTCATGAGGGGAGGCAATCAGCGGAAGAAGACATCCCCCATTCACCTCAGCGTGGTCCAAGGGGACGTTATAATGATGTCCAAAGACTCAACTACACTACTGTGGAGAATATCAACTTCAACAGGGACCATGCCAAGCATAAGCCAGCCCAGCGATCATTTTCACTGCCAGCTATCCCTGTCAGTGACCAGTACAGGTTAGGTCAGGTGTCGGTCAAGCAGTCTTCTGCAACTGGTGTAGATCACATCAGGCAGCTTGCTGAAGCATCTCAGACCCGGCCTCGTTTCATGAGTGTTCAAGAAGCTCTGAGTGAGGAAGACTGGACATGTCGTGCCAGTTTACCATTTGTAAGAGGCGAAGCTGATGGCAAACCTGATCAATCCACACATGAGCAGCATGAGACCTGGGCCATTGGTGACCCTTTCCCTGAACAGTGTGGACCTGAAAAGGATCAGTTTGGACCAACTCTGTCCAATCTGGATCACCAAATTGAACCTGACCAGTTTGAGTTGGCTGCTGAAACTCCTTACAATCCAGCATCACAGGACAAAGAGAATAGTGCTTTTCCAAAAGATGTGGTCAGTGAAGACGGATGTTTTCCGATTGAAGGTCTGAAAGAGCAGGACGTCTTGGAAGTGTTGCAGGCTCTTGGTGCTGATACAGATGAGGATCCTTTTGACAGTCCTCTCTCCTCCTTACCTAATGAGACGGAGTTGTGTCAGGTGGAGCAGTCATTGACTACTGAAGCTGAGCTGCGTGATCTCCATGTCAATGACAATGAGCTGCGTTTCCTTGAGAAAGAGCTAGACGTTGAGGGGAGTCACATGCAGGAAGTGGCCAATCACTGCGAGGCACTTCCCGCATCTATGCTGCTGCCTTCAGAGCCAAGAAGCTGGGAGCCTCAAGATGTACACCAAGATGCAACCCTGCTGCCTGGCTCAGGACAAGACAACAGGCAGATACAGCCTGAGGTAGCTTACAGACCTCTGCATGGGTTTGATGTGCCTACCATAAGATTGCCATCATTGTATAGTTTGCTCAACCTTAACAGGACATGAGCGTGAAACTGCAACACGGACATACATCCATTTGAACATTGCACATAGATTGTATGCCTAATAACATACATGTACATGTCATATTTGTCAGTCTTAATGGTTTTTATGAATTTTCATTAACACCTATAACAACGTCTGTTTACTGTGCATGACATTCTTTGATGCATGGAGAATACGTGACTTGTCGGCTTAATAGTGAAAAAGTATGAAATGATCTGTCAGTTTGTATAAATGTACTTTTTGTATTCAGAGATGCTTTCATTTCTTTTAAGTTTCAAGAAAATGCAATCTACCATGCCATTGTTTTGGATCTTGATCATTCATACAAACATTAACCCTAACCCATCTCAATCCTCCAAAATCCTCCAGGTGGTTTCAGAGGATTTTGGAGAATTCAGGATGAATGGTGATTTGAACATTGCAGCATTTGATGGATGAATAGTATTTTAAAAGCTAGAGGATTGAGGATGAATTCTGATTTACATGTAAAAGCTCGAGGATTTTGGAGAATTGAGAGTGAATGGCAAATGAAGTACTAAAAATCAGTCACAAAGTGGTGTATATAATCACACATACTGTTTGCAATATACATGTACCCAAGGACAATGCGTTCCATTGTTCACTGCTGCTGGTCATAAATGACACATCCCTCAACTACAGTGTGTTAAAACAAAGGCACATGTCTGCTTTATTACAAAAGTAAAGCCATCAGCCAACCCTGCAAGAAACTAGCTTCAGCCCAGCAACCAACCTGATTTGCCCAACCCCCCCTCCCCCCAAAACCCCCAAACCCCATTTGAAGTATGTACATGTAGGGCCATGAAGGATTTTGGAGGCTTGAGGATTCAGGTACCTTTCATTTTGTGCGTAAGCAAAAGAGGATTTTGGAGGATTGAGGATGAATGCAGTTTTTGAAGTTGGGCAATATGGACAATTCTTAATAGTGCGCCCCCAAGTGTTTGCAACGCATTGGCCAATCACGATGCGTGAAATTTGTCAATTTTTGCATGTTGTGATTGGCCAATGCATTGCAAACTGTTGGAGGCACACTATTGTGAATCGCTTGTATTTAGAGGATTTTGGAAGATTGAGGATGTGCCCCAGCAAAAAGACCTTTTGGGTTAGGGTTAATGATATGAAGTGTATGCTAACAGTTTTCAATCTACAATATACATGTAGCTAACTGCACAAAACATTTGGAGTTTTATTTAATGGCTGGTTGATGATCATAGAGCTTGCATATGTCCAATTATTTTAAATCTAAATAACACTTGATTGTTAACCCTAACCCTCCTCAATCCTTCACCTGTTGGAGGGTTGAGGAGGGTTAGGGTTAATGAATCTATTAATAATAATCTAAATGAGCAAATGAAAAAAGGAGAACTGCAGACCGTCTATACTGGTGTGTACATGTACGTATGCATGCTTGCCTATTGGAAACAGTGGCATTTTCAATGTAGCCATGTTAGTTTTTAAAACATCCATTTTCTAATTTTAAAAATCAAAAGAAAATTTGTATGCCTACATGTGACAAGTATTGATTCTCTAAACGGTAGTGATGAAATAAATGTTTCATCAAATAACTAAGGATTCTACAGTTTCAAAGTCTTCACAGAAAAAAGTGGCTTTGAACTGTAGATATATGTACAAATTACCTGTCCTCTCTGCATGCACATGACAGATGTTTCTTCAGCTGAATAGATTGTTAACATCAGGAGCACTATCTTGATTTCAATCAGGTGACTTTTGAGACTCCAGCTCGTGGCCCTGTCACTCCATGTCAAGTAGCCAATCAGGAAGCCTGGGACATCTTACGACAGCTGGACGAGGAAGAGCGTTGGACTGAGCGTGTGCAGGTTGTCACTCGCCAGGACCACGAGGAGTACACACATTTCGCTCGGGAATTCTTGGAAGAGATAATTGATAATTTGCCAATCAGGTACCAGTATTCATGTGACAGCTTGGCGTGAATTCAGTTCAGGTCCAACTTCTGTGCTTTTTGAAAACTGGCTACTGCTCAAATAGTGTATAGCAGAAAACGATAGGCATGTGTGAAAACATGGAGGTTTGACATTTCCTTGCTTGATATGTTTGAACCGGTACACCGTGTGCGACTTAAAACCTCATACATGTACATGTAGGTGGACTTTGCCTCTGTGGGTTAATTCCAAGTTTCCAACATTTTGTAATTTCTCTTAGAGAGTCATCGGCATCCCCAGTGGTGCCAGTAGACGCCAACCTGCCCTCCGAAGAATCTGCCACGGCTGAAAAAGAAAAAACAGTGGACTTTAGAAGTTTCTGTGAAATACAGGAGGAACAGAAGGAAAACTTGCCTCCACCTGCTCCAGAGCAAACCTCCAAAATGGAGGAAGGTAAAATAGGATGTCGATTTAACCTCTGTGGTTTTCAACATGACATTTGCTGGACCAAATTTAGCTTCCATCAGTGAGCTTTTTGTGAGATTTGAACTCAACATCTTTTTCTTTGTATTTTTCTTGACTGTTAGGGTTCCCTAAGACAGGGAAAAACATCTATGACGTGAGTGATGAGGACCTCCAGAATATGAATCCCTTCCAGACAGGGTCCAAGCTACAGAACTCGCCCCCGCTACCAGCCAGTAAGAAGTCTGCTGCACCAGAGTTTAACTACGATGACATCAAGGATCCATTTGGGACATCCAGTAAAATCCAGAACTCACCTAAGAGATCGCCTAAGAATGCTGTCCACAATGCAAGGTCTGTAGCCAGCTTCTTGGTTGCTTTAGGTCAAAGTTTGGTTTCTGTTGTCAGTTTCCCATCACAAGTATTCACTTCAGAGCCTGAATGGAAGATCATGTATCAGTGGAAACCGATGTATAAACAATATAGAACATTTTCTGCTATTTGCAATTTTTTCGCTTTACATACATTACCATTTTCCTGATGGTTTATACTAGTAGTGGTCTGAGTAGAGAAAATTGAGTTTCATGAGAACTGTTAATTTTATGAAGCTCTGAACTTCTCTCTTGAGATCTTAAGAAATTTGCCAACCGTTGAATTTTGTTGGTAAAAATCTGTCGGAAGTCAATCAAGGCAATGCAGTCTAGCCTGAAGGAATGACGAGGCATTCATGTTGTTCTGTTAATTTTGTTTTGATATCCACCTGCTCTCACTTGTCTATTTGCACCTGTCTGTGTTTATTACTTTGCCTGCTCTGCCATGCTTTTCAGTGATAAAATAAACCTTCGTCTTTTGCGCCCAAATTTCAAATGCAGAATGCTCTATTTGCATCTCCAAAACTCAACCAGCAACAAGAAATTGTAATGAAGAGAATCCTCTTTTGATTTAACTGCAAAATTTGAAATCAGAGGAACACACGTACTGTAGATGCAATAATTATCAGACTGTTTATTTTGATAGAGTAGAAATAAAGTTAACCATTCAAGGGAAAGAATCTGGAAAAGACTGAAACTCGGCACTTAATATAGGAGCAGTTTGTCACATTCAGCTGTCTCTTTGCAGCTTTTACACTGCCTTCATCTTGAAAACTTAGTAACGCTGTCACATTTGCTATTTAAGATATCATTTTGGTTGCTTTCTATGATTTGCTGTCCTGCCTGCTTGTATTTTACTCTAGCACTGAGTTTGAGTTTGACGAAACTCAAGACCCATTTACACCTACGAACCAGATGCAGAATTCCCCACAGACATCACCCAAACTCACAATCAACAACGCAAGGTTTGCTCTTGTCTCAATCATTCTTCCATCATAGGAAAGTGTGAAAATCCTGTATCTACATCTACATGTAGATACACACATGGTGTGACCACATGCATTCCAAAACCAGACTGAAGGTACCTTGTATGATGTTTGACAATTCCTCCCTCAATTTTGTTTTACACTTAAGAGTGGCCCAGAGTCTAAATTCTATTTGAATATGAACAATTGAAGACTGTGTCAGAGATATGAACTTACCTACTTCACCCTGGTTTTGTAATGGTGCATGTAGGTCACTTGTACCAGTTATGTGGGAAAGTCATTCTTCTTGGCAATTTTTTTGGGGGGTGGGGGGGAATAATTGTGAATCGCTTTGTATCTGCATTGCACAAATTTCTAGTTGAGCATTTCACATGTGTCCTCACAATCAAATTTCTTATTTCACTCGTCTCGTAAAAATAAATATCTGGCCACACCGATACTGCATTCATTTCTGATTATTTTGCACTTCTGTATGTTTTTGTGGTATGATTTCTTTTTGTGTTTTGGTGGGCATCAGTTTACTATTTTGATTTCAGTTCTGAGATTGCCTTCGATGATGAAACATATCCCTTCAAGCCAAAGAACCAAGTAGAAAATTCACCTCAAATTTCTCCCCCAAATGCTGCCAACAACAACAGGTGTGTGAAGTCACAATGCAGTGGTTTCCTTTCATTATTGCTTCTTTTTGAGTTCTCTGCACTCTTGGATTTTCATTGATTTGTTTGTGGTCTTGTCTCTGCATTTTGTTTTATTTTATTTTGCTGCATTCAGTTTCCTTTATGTTGCTCTGCACTTTCACTCTTTCAGCTCAGAAATCAATTTTGATGACATCAAAGACCCGTTTGCAACCACAAGTCAAATTCCTAATTCCCCCGAGGTGTCACCCAAGCAAGAAATTGATGAGTCAAAGTAGGTTGAAGTTGTGGCTGCTTCGTGTTGTAGGATCCTGACTTCAAAGTGAAGATGGAAGACAGGAATCCAAAATCTCAACAGATCTTTAACCCTATCCCTTAGGCCCTTTTTGTTAGGGACCCTCCTCAATCCTTCAAAATTCTCCAAAATTTCTTGAAAATGCTACTTCGAGGTGTGCATACTGCCTCAATCCTTCAAAATCCTCCGGCAATTCCTGTTGTTATGTTGAGGCAGGGCGAATGGCATTTTTGAGCAGTGCAGTCGATTCAAAAGAAAAATTGGGCTGACTTTACGCATGACTGAGCAAAAACAACACAAGGTCTCACCCACGACCTTCACCTCTGGCACCCTTCGCAATAAGCCATGTACTTTTGCCATTCACCCCAATCCTCCGAAACTCCCCGAAGGATTCTGGAGGATTGAGGAGGGTTAGGGTTAAGACACAGCAACTTGAATTACTAAAATTTTATGCTGAAGCATAAATTGTCATTGGTTATGTTGGAAAGGCCATAGAATAAAATCATTTTCGCGATGCATAACCCAGAAACCTCCACGTGAGTACAGCATTGATTGCTATTGAGTTTAAGATTTCTGCCATGGCTTCTACTTCCAAGTTCATTAATGAACATAGAGATACATCAGCACTGTTGCTGATTTCCAATACATCTGCATAAACCCACTTTGCATATGTGTTACAGTTTGGAGACCAACTTTGATGGAGTTCAAGACCCATTTTCCTCCAAGAAATCGCTGCAGAACTCTCCAGATTCTTCACCTAAAAATGTTACCAGAAAAGCAAGGTTTGTGCGGCCTTACATATTTGTAGATTGGGTTACGTAAAAAGGGAGAACTTGATGCCTGTGGTGAAATGTGAACTTACCTATAAAGTAATGTCTCTATGTGGAATTTTAGACTGCCATAGACAAAGTATGAATACAAGTATATCATGTGAAGCTATTAGAATTGATATTTAGCCAATTTTTCTCTCGGTAGATCGACACCCAAGGGTCGAACCCCAACAAAGGCATCTAAGAAATCTCCATCACCAAAGTCCAGTCCCTCCAGTTCCTCGGTCACCAAGAGTAATGACTCCATGACTGCTGACGGCGATAATGTTGATAATATTGCCACTCAGAAACCCACTCTGGAAGTCACTCCCTTACCTAGAGAAGAGGACTCGGATTATCATTCAGGGCAGATCAAGACAGACAAGAAGTACGAGCAGTTTATGGAGTCTGAAGAGTTTGTACTTGCCCCAGAAGAAGGTGGGTTCAAGATGTTGTTGTGTCTGACACAGTGATGTACGTAGTAATTCTTAGTCAAATGGGATTGTTAAAAACCTGAAGATTATCGGTTTCGTCCTTAATAAACACAGCCCAAATTTAGCATTTTTGAGCCATTTCCATCTTGAAAAGTAGACTGAATCAGATGGTATTTGTGTGAATTTTTGTTGATGTTGTGATTAAATAATTCTTGGTTTCTTTCCTACAGCCTCAGGAGTCAAACAGGGTAACCAGGTGGAAAATGAAGATTTCAGACCAGCCGAAGAAGGTATGTCACATGATCACGTCACATGACTATATCTGGAGGCTATGGTTGCATCCGAATCTGTTGTCTAGGTCTAGGTCTTCCCTCCATTGGAAATGTGCGCAGACGCGTAAACAAGAGACCTAACCGTAGCTCTGGAAGCCCGTTTCGGACACGGCCTATGCCACAACTTTGTGATACATGTATTCTTGGCACATTGTCACAACTGTCACCACCTTACATTGTCCCACGCCTAGTACGTCCTACAACTGCAGTAGCCATTGATGTCTTCTTGCACTCAAACTGTCTTCTTTGACAGTAGCTTAGAATTCATATGGAGTATAAAAGGTAAATTAAAGTGAAAAAATAAAACTGGGGCTTCAATGGAATAAGAAATTCTCAGGGGGCCTTTCTTGGGTTGACAAAACTAAATGTCTAGAAGCATTCAAGGCATGAAAACACCTCTTTTGCTTGATTGGTTTATTGCCATTTGGACTACATAGTATGCACACTCTGTTTTCATTCAGAAATTACTCGGTGCCACAGGGATTTAAAATTGGAGCCCTGTAAACAAACAAGGCATATAATATATTGTTCTATCATTCATGCCACGCCCCCTTTCCCATCGCTTGACCACACCCCTATCAGGCCTTACTGTACGAGGCCTGCAAAGGGATATAAGCTTTGAAGAGATGGAATTTCGTTTGGCGGAGGAAGGTAGGATGAACTGGTGGTGTTAACATCCCCCATTCCATCTCATCCCATCCCTCCCAATCCTGACCCTTCCCGACCATCAGACCACAGAAACTTCTGTCTGAATTGAGAGAGGAAAATGTAGTGTGTTTCTCAGATGTCCTCAGCTTAGCACACTTACAAGGTCACTTCAGCATCAGTGTTGTTATTTCCTGTAAGGTGGTCATTGGCAATAACGCTCTGTGTGTAGCAGTGTGTTGCTGCTTTTTGTACCCAGTGCACTGATTTGTTCGATTGTGCGATATGTACGTGTAGGCAGAATAGTCCATAGCTAGAAGGGAACAGAGGGTTAGCATGAGAAGACACCCTCCCCGAAGTTCAGTCATTTGCACCAGACATTGAAACACCCAGACTGCATTTTCTCCACTCATATCCAAGTTGAAGTTTCATCAGTGGGGTTTTTTTTCCAGGTCATACTGGTCATAAATTTAATCCTGTGGTTTGTTTCTGAACACCAAATCCCGTAATCCTATTCTTCATGGTAATTAAGAGTCTGGCACAGCATGTCTGCACTCATTGTGATAAAGAATTAAAATTGTTTGGTTTTAATTCCTGTGAAATGAGTTGGTTTGGGTTTGTATTGATTTTTACACTTTTATACTTGATACCTGATTGCTTCCTTTTTTGAAAATCATTTCAGTCCTGCTGTGCTGTGTTTTGTATTTCTTCTTATCTCTACTTTTATGCTTCTGCTAAATTGTCAGCAAATTGCATGTTGTGTGACGTTGTTCATAACAATGTCGGTGGCAATACATTAGTGATGGAGTAGATTGCTTTAACAGTGTGTTTTGTGTACTTGTAGTTTTCCTGAGGAATTTCCTTTTTCCTGGCATGTTTCCAATCCCTGTCTTCTCTGTAAAGTATTGCTAGAAATTGGTCCCCCTTGAAACTCATTGTGAGAAACCAAAGATTTGTCAATATGTCTACTGAAGCATGATGAGATGAACATTTCAGTCTAGATTTTGGGTGAGGACTAAAAAAGTTTTTCCAATTTGTCTTTTAACTCTAAACTGAGGTTTCCCTGATCTCTGAATTACGAACAACTATTACTGATGCACCGCGATGTTTCAAACATCTTTTTATTGAAACCCATGTTCCTTCTGTAATTTATTCACAACTTTACGAAAGATGTGGAATTTAAGAAGATCTGTGCAAGTAAGATAGAAGCCAGTTGGTATGACAAAAGAGTTCAATTTTTTATGAACTCACAGGGCTCGTTCACTCTCTTTAAGTAGTATGCAGAAGATTTTGAAAACTTTGTAGAGTTGGGAATGTTTCTGTAGACTTTCCCTTCAGCATCTGTGGTACTGTCTGCCTGCCCAGTAGAGAGTATGCCTGATGTATTTTGTAGAGCACACCCAGATCCTGATGCTAAGTGTTCTTTAGTTTGCTTTGCTCTTTCTTTCTTGCTTTCTGTCTCTTCCCCCTCAAAGCTGTTGCTCGTGGTCACAGCCAGCTTCTTGAATTCACCAGATTTCATGGCCTTTCCATCCAAGAAGGTAGGGGGCTAGGGGCACCCCATGAACTTCCAGCAAGTCAGAATGCGTCTCCTCTGTATTGCTTTCTTTCCCCCATCATGGATCTCTCCTCTTCCTCTATTGACCCAAAAAGCGTTTGTATTCATTTTGGCTACCCCTATCTACCAGTATTTCTTCTGTAGTTGTGTGCTCAGTGCAACTGCCAAATTACTCAAAGCTTTCATCATTTCTTTTTTCCAAAACCAGTGCTTGGGAATTGGATCATTTTGAATATTGTCTTGAAAATCTCCTTTATTTATTCCTTTTTTTTCCTTTGTATCCATGGCAACTTTTCCCAAGATGATCACATTAGACTTGTTTAAAGGTTTTACATTTTAGTAGCAAACATATTGTGGATAGCTGAGGACAGAGTACAGTAACTGTCAGAGTACAGTAACTGTCAGAGTACAGTAACTGTCAGAGTACAGTAACTGTCAAGAGGCTAATGCGTTTCCTTTTCTTTCCACCTCTGTTTCCCCGGCTTGGTGTCTAAACCACTTGGCAGTGTTAGACTCATTCAAACAAGATCACTTTTTCCTGATATACAAATCAGCTCATTGATTTGACTGCCATGTCTTTTCAACACCGTTTCATTTACAGGTGGATTTCAACTTGTATATATTTTGCTTTTAAACTTGAACCATGAATGTAATGATGCAGAAGCCTTCAACCAAAATGGAGGCTTATAAAATGGTTACTATCAAGTAGAGATCATTGTGTAAGGAAGCTAATTGTTAATCTGGCTGTTGTCTTTCAGTGTTTGCCAGTGCAGATCCTGCTGCATTTGATGTTGACTTCCTAGAAAAGGCTGGCGGTTCCAGTTCGGTAAGTCTGCCCTTGTGATGATAGGGGAAGGGAGGGTAGAGCCCATTTAGTTCCTGTATATTTGTGATTTAATGCCGTATTTGGAACATGTTTAAACTGGGGTTTTCCTTTTTTGGGGCTCAGTTTCAGGAATCGGCGCTTGCAAGACAGTCACTGTATGTGAAATTTGACCCCTTAGTCAATGCACCTGCTGGTAAGTGACCTTTAACCCTAATAGCCTTGAAAAAGCTCTAATACTAAACGTGCTTGCTTATCGTACACAAAGTCCTAGAAAAGGTGGAATAAAAATAAGAGGAAGAAGGCCTTTTGTGGTAGTATTGGTAGCGATGTCCACTTTATGATACACAGGGATGAAATTTTAAAATCTTGCTCAGTTCAGAACCTGTTCATCAGCAGCCTCTTATTTCCTAGGAATTGACAAGTTTTTAATCCGTCTGGCTTACATCCACAGGTGGTGGAGCTAAGGGTTTACTCCCAACTGTCTCAGAACCTATGATTCAAGAGGACGATGAGGATGATCTCCTACAGATGCAAACTCCGCCCACAGTGACCAGCACAAGACAATCATCCAAGATCCGAGAGAAGGCAATGATACAGAGTGCCAGTAAGGCAAATACTGAGGGGCGGAGTGGAATGACAGAGGGGGTGGATAGACTACTCGCCTTCAGCCCTCCTAGAAATCAAGATTCTCAGGTACTCTTGATACTTGGCATGGTTGAGCAGTTGCTGTTTTAAAAATGCTTGCCGTCTTACTTTGCGTATCTTATGATGAATAATGTTGAGATTCATTGCAGCATTTCAGTCCACGTTTGGTCAGCCATTTCAACAAGGGCATTATGTATAGCTTTGCCACTCTTCTAACTGATTCCTTGAACATTGAGTCTGGTTGCAAGTCACAAAGGTCCAGTCAAAGGTATGGATCGCAAACATTGAGTCTTCATTTGTGTTGCTGTGTTTGATGCAGATTTGACCTTTTCGTTTGCTCTCTCTTGTTTCTAGGGTACTGATGATGTTGATGCTGATGGACCCAAGTTGTCTGCCTCGTTAAGTGTTGAAGCAGAGGATGAAGGCATTGTTCAGGTATGTCTTAAGTCTATTTGTAATGGAGAAGGTATGACCTTGTGTCGGTAATAGCTTGGTGGAAGATTATTCCTTTCATGTGTCATTTTCTTTGTGTTTTCAGCCTTTACGATATTCACAAGCTGATTTGGATGCTGCCATCAAGGAAGCCATCAAAACTGTACAGAAACAGGTGGGTTGAACTTTTATTGTGGAAAATTTGGTGGGGATTGTCTTCTGTTTGCAACATGAATATATATTCAAAACAAGATCAGGCGTGATGTGTTTACTTTGGAGCCATGGAGTTTTATGTGCAAGATGAATTAGTAAAATTACACTCAGCAAAATAAAAATGGAGCCATTTGGCAGTGTAGAGCAACTGTAGAAGTAGCAAGGTGTGGAGTTTTTGTCTTAAGTTGAGTCTGTTGCTTTATAACTGCAGAACAACAAGGAAATCAACCAGTACAAGAAAAAGGTTGAAGAAAAGGAGAAGACGATTGCTGCACAGAGTGCTAAACAAAAGGAAACTGACCAAACCACAGAGAACCTCAGGTAGGCTTCAATTTACTTCTTGGCTTCAGGCTTCAGTGGGCTTGTAATGGTGTATCTTTTATATTTCAATGGAACTAAGCAAGTTGTGAGAACTGTGAAAACTTACTTCCCTGGAGAGTGTTCCTGTTCCTTCATTTTTGGGAAGCTTTCTCAAAAAATCCAAATGATCGTTTGTGTTTCTTCTGCAGTGCCCTGGTGACGCAGTATGAGAAAGCAATGCAGCAGATGATGGGTAAGTTGACAAATTCTGATTTACTGGAGAATAAAATGAATAATTTTCACATTTATAAGAATCATTATGGTTGCGGTAAATATTTTAGTCCTGTGAATGTTCTTGGTGGACAGAGTTTATCGTCATGGCCTCTTGCAAACTTGATGTGGCTTTTAATGGTACCAATGATTGGTGGTGATTTTGCCTTTAGGTGATATCAACAAGGCCAAAGACAGCTCCCAGGAATCAGTCGCCAGCATCCTGAAGGAGAAGGAACAAGCTTTGGAAGATCTAGCCTCGGTAGAGAATGCTTTCAGTGACCTACATCGACGATACGAGAAACTCAAACAGACTGTAGAGAGTTATAAAAAGGTAGGCCAGGTTGTTGTCTCAGTGGTAGCTTGACCTCATGCGGGCAGCAAGGGGCAGGTTGGAGCGACTACTGTTTGCAGACCACTGGTCGATTTTCCCTGGTAACCTGTGCACAAAAGACATTCTGGATACCAGGGAAAATGAACCAGTGGTTGTCACTCAAACTTCTCCTAGATTAGTGCCCTCAGATGGAATGAACCATGCATGTATTTACATTATTGGACACTTAATGTATCATATTCATAAGAGTAGGCATACCTCCTGGCATGCTTTTCATGTTGACTGTGATAGTGTTGCAGTAGCATGCACATTGTCACTGTTGGCAATTTTTTTGGCATATATGTGGAATGCAGCCTCATTCTCAACCCTAATGATGTTGCAGTCATAGGGTACCAGACTTGTCCCGTCGCCGCTGAATTGTTTTTTCTTTGATATGACAGAATGAAGAGGTTCTGAAGAAGTGTGTGTCAGATTACCAGGCCAAACTCAAGAAGCAAGAGCAGAGGTACCAGACACTTAAAACACACGCTGAGGAGAAGATTGAAAAGTGAGTCAAGTTTGGATACACGTTAATTTAACCCCACTGTTTTTTACATTTACTCAATGTGAATTGCAATACCACAAATGGACTTTGAAGAGAGTTTGCTTTGAGCAGAGAGCTGTCGTACCAGTGTCACCTTTAGCTTCGCTTTTGTAGTTCCCCTGAAACAGGCACTTGTGGGAAACATCTTGAAGTTTTGTTTTGTCTGGTTGATTTCCAGAGCCAACAATCAGATTGACATGGTTAAGAAGAGCTATGAGGGAGAGTTGAGTGCCCTGCAGGCCGCAGTCAAGAGAGAGATTATGAAGGTGGAGAGTATGGAAAAGACTATCGAACAGAAGGTGAAGAGATGAACCAGGAAATAAAACAACTTAATATCTGTAGCAGACATGTTTAATGAAGGGAATAAATATGTGCTTGGCTGGTGGTAACATGCATGTAGGAATGGCTCAGGAAAGTAGACCCAGCAAGAAATGAGACCGAGGGGTACNTCTCATCCCTTGCTGCATATGCAGGGAATGGATGCAACTAATCCCCCCCCCGCCCCCGCCTGCAACTTGGACATTATCAGCATTCATTCTACTGAGCACCGTCCGAGCACATATTTATTCCCATTCATAAATATAATTTCAGACAGAGACTGAGTGGGTCGATAAAGGTCCATGCATTTTGTTCAAGAATGTTGCTTTCATTTCCCCGAAACACCCCTGTCCATTTTGTAATCTATTCCTTGTGCAAACTGTTCACAAGAATCTCCGCACATGATTTGGCATGTGCATGGCAAGCTGCGTGCACACAGACTCTTGACCAATCAGAATTGATTAAACTGTCTTGTAACTAGATGCCAGCTCATGATTTAAGCAACAGGCATTATCACTTCTCAGTGGGCATTGTTAAATGTTAATACATGGTCAAGTTGCACGTTGTTTAATAGGGAGACTGTCTGAGGTATTTGTGAATAAGCTTTCACTTCATGTCACTCAAGCGTGAGGAAAACCCTGATATGTTATGTGGGTGCTCTTGGTGCTGATTTGATCTGATTTTCACTGACATTATTTAGAAAATCTTTATTCTTCCTCTTTCCACAGACCAAGGAGAACGCTGAGCTGACCAGTATCTGTGATGAACTCATTGTAAAGATTGCAGACAATAAATAGGACTGCGAACTTGCCAGTTAGACAGTTAACTACAGTGACATACGTTTGCTGGCGGGAGGGTTTTGGTCGCCTGAAATGAGTTTCGCTGGTCGACTTTTTCTTGTTACCACTTCATGTATTTATCTCTTGGAGTATGCATTGGCATGAAATTCTCAAAAGTGTTTGTGAAAGTTCCATCCACTATTGTATTTTTTACATGAGCAAATTATCTCAGTGTTACAGTTGTGTGGTAATGGTGTGAGGAACCTAACTCTCTGGGTCACCTTAACCTGGTACAACAAATTGGAAGAACAGCATCAAAATCTTTGACCAGAGCTGAAGTTAGTTAGAATCCATTCCAACCTCAAGACTACCCACTCAGAATTGTAACAGCCTGTCAGGAAGATTGTACAAATCACCCTTGGTGCACTCTGGCAATGGAAGGAACGTTGTTCGTGTCACTTTGTTTTCTCCTAACCTCTCACAGCACCTCTTGTATGTTAGGGTAACCTTTTCAATAAATACATGTTCTATTTATTTTGACACAAGTATAGTTACTTTGAAAAAAAATATGTTTGGCTTATATTATCTATATGAAGCTATTATTAAAGGTCAATTAAATCCTGTTAGTTTGGTTTATGTTCATGAACCAGGACAGGTTAAACAGCTTGAGGATATCCTTCAAACTTTTTTCAAGGAATTAAAAGGAATTTAGGTAAACTAGTTTAAGTCACAATCACTTATCATTGTAAAGGCCATATTGATTATCGATTTAGCTCATTTGAAGTCTCCCAAACATAGGCTCAAAAAATAATACGAATATTAAATAACACCAAAAAATAAACACCATTATCAGCACAAATATGATGCATTATTTCTAGCTATAGCCATTTTGCTATGGAAGACAGTTGTAATGTTTTCGCAGTATACAGTACAAAATTGAACAGTCTCTATAGGTGAAAGTCAGGTGACATGTTGACTTGTAACATCAAGCGGTGTCACAATGTCTATGCATCATTGCGTGGAGTGGTCTTGTTTTCCCAGTCAAGTACATTCTAATCCTCTGTGTTGATCAGCCATACACTCCATAGAAGGGTCAGTGAACTTTTGTGTACTATTAGATGGTAAACATTTTGTGTAAATACATTTAAAGCATAAATAATATGATGAAACTGTACATAGCTGTATCATACTCTGACATTTTCCAGTGTTTGGGAATTGCGAAGAATTATTGAGTCTGTATGCATGGAAGAAAAAACAAAATCAGATTTCTTCCAGTTTTTTTGTTAGGAGGGTTAGAAAGAATGTTTGTGGTTCGTAGAAGAAAATAATTTTTCTCTAGGCAGTTGTTTGATAAAGCTTGCCAAATTTATAATAGTATATTTATTTGATTTAGTTTGATTCGTCATTTGGGAAAAACGTTTCTAGATTCTGGCTGTTGATTAATGCAGACAAAGCAAAGCAAATCATAAGAATTGCAAGTAAGTTTAAATTCAGGTGCTTTCACAGGTTGTTTTGAACCAGTACACTGTGGGCAGGCCTGGTTAGAGAAATATTAGCTTTTCCTCGGAATTGTCATTTTCTACCATTTGAAGGTGAGGGCAGACAAAGCTACACGATTGTCCATCTACCTTCATCCATTAAGTCACGTGTCAAAACTAAAATGTCATGTAAATAGTGCCGCGGGTTGTTCCTAATTATCACATTCTGTGTGTCGCCAGTGATGATGTAAACAGGTGATAAATCCAGGCAGGAAAACTTAATAAACAATCATTGATGTCTGGAGAATAAGAGTTTGAAAGTCAATTTTTTTTACATCAACCACTTTGTATAAAAAAATTGAAACAGCTTAAATTTAATGAACTTAAGATTAGTTTTTAATCAGAGTGTACTTGAAGGAGCTTTCCTTCGTACACGTAGGTTTTTGAGATTTGGATTCGGGATAGAAAGACAAGCACACAAAGGAAAATGCAAACCCACGGAACTGCAAATCTCTAGAAGTTTCTACGAAGTGTAAACGGCGCCCTCTGTTGGTATTCAACGGCCAGCTACCCCACAATTCATTGCGAAAAGTTTGCTACTTCTGAAAACTTAGAGAAGAAAGTTCTTTTGGGGATCAAATTCCGCGTATCGCTGAAAATTAACTGAAGCCGTTTTATTAGACAGGAATTATGATGGTATGTTTCAATTCTTTAATCATAAAAATGATTAGAATGAACACTTTGATCCAAGTTAGACACTTTAAGATTTGAAAGAGTCAATTTTTTGTCAAGGAAAACTATTGTCGCGTCACCATTCGTTGCTATGCTGCTCCTCCGTTATAAAAACGAGAGCAAACCATGGAAACGTCAGTTGTGTTTATGCTGTGCTTTCAGTGTGGACGCCTTTCCTGTTCGTGAGAATTACGAATGCGATTTCGCCTGATTATTGCCGTACTTCTTTGGGCTCCAGTCTTCAAGACTGTGAGGTAAGCCAGTTTAGTGATTCATTCAGACATACGGCCTAGCCTACTGAGTACTGTGGCCTAACTAGTACATGTAATTGTAAAGTTCGTGTGCATATGCAGATTGCTTACCGGCCTACGTGACTCTGGAGTGGGCTGGGGATTAGGCTGCTTCATGGTTTTTAGGCCTCAGCCCCAGCTGATAAGCCTGGCATTTAAGCCTGACTGTTATCCTACTAATGAGTAATGTATTGTGGTGCCCTGCCACATTTTCATGGAAAGCACTTGTCTGTTCAGTTTTTAAGTCAAAGCTGTGTGTTACAACATAAAAGCCACAACATGTGTCATGAAACAAAACACAAAAACTGAACAGCAAATTGAAACAACAAAGTAGGCCTAGGCAGGTAGGCCTTAGATAACATTTCAAGCGTGAACTTATCAAATAGATCAATGATAAAAAGTAGCCATCCTTTGTTGACCTAACTTCTTGCTATGATTTCTGAGAAAAGTTTCAAAACAAGCCTTGTTTTATAATTCTCTGTTGGAAAAATCATGTACAGTGCCAATCATTTCTCATTCCTGTAAACAAAGGATTAAGCCTTAAGGGTGCATTCCATCAAATTGTATTTCTGCAAACGAGCTCATTAATATTTTGTGATCTCACAGGGTTTTTACAGTAAGACATATGCCATAATAAGGAGGGATCATAGAAATGTTTCTCTCAATCCCAAATTTGGGACTGATAGTTTCCAGTTTGGGGTATTTCTTTCACAAAATGCCCCAAATTGCAGGCCTATTTTGGATAGAGGCAGCCGGCTATATTCAGAACTGAGCGTATAGTTTTACTACCATTTTGGTGATATCTTCGAGGAAAGGCCAATAAAAAAATTTTGGTGGCTAACCTTCATAAAATTGAAACGAAAAGTGATCTTCTGGCCATAATATTGAATTTCCAGTGAAAAAGCGGAGGCCAACCTCTCTCCGGGAGTCGACAGGCAGTAGTATTTCAGTCTGATTTTGCACAGTTTTCTATGGCCACATATTTGGTGAAGTGTAACCTTAACATTTAAATACAGAAGTCAAACCATTACATTTGAACATTATTCTCACAGCTCCCAGACCTTTAGTACCATCTCGGGTCTCTCCCAGGGTAGTCTCCCCATCTCTACCCTGCCTGAAGACTGTCCGTCAACTGTTGACGTGTCTGACATCGTCTTCATCTCTGCAGTCCCAATAGCCATTGGCTTCGGACTGCTCCTGCTCTTGGCCTTTCTGCAAGATCTTAGACAGGCATGCAAGGTATATGAATTGCAACAAGAAATGAAACCTGATGTTTACTTGACTTCCTTCTAAAAGTTTTGTGCACATCCCATCATAACCTGAATGTTTTTCTTAAATCATCTTCTCATGTGTTTCTTTGTTACAGAGCAAACGCTCCTGTCCACCATCTCCTTGCAACATCCGGGGAAACAGGGCCAGAAAGGAGCGTACCTACATCATCGATGTAAACTATGCTGGCCGTTCATATTGGGGTTCATTCCTACGTTGGTGTGCACTGCACAAATCATCAGGTGCAAAGAAAAACCCGCGTCTTATGAGACTCCAAGGAACAACTGGCTTCAGCAACTGGTGAGTTAATTTAAAACATTTGGCTTGTCTTAAACATTCAGTGAATATCTTATGTGTTACTGTGACAAACAAGCAATTTGCGTTGATTCTTGTTTCTGCCTTAAACTTTTTCCACAGGCTATCTTTTGATCTGGTTCTTGGAAAAACTTCAGAGCAGAAGACTTTGACAACCCCTCGCTCCATTGGTAAGCTCGTAGCCGTGGAGACGAAGTACCCATCAGCGAGCGATGGATTCAACTCCAGGCTGCTTCCATCTTCCAACATTGGAGCTTGCCTTCGAGGAATCATCAACAGGGCATGTGATATGTGAGTTCTTCTTTTAGCTTAGTTCTGCAACAGATTCTGTATGGATCCATTGAAATGCCATAAACTTACTCGTCGTGGACTGCTGGGCATAGTTTCAAAGACGAGTTCCCATTTACCAAGCGTTGTACACTTGCACGCATATTTGACAGGTACCTTTCACTGAGGTGTCCGTTTGAACATGAGCATTTTACAGATGTATGCCCTCCACAAAGCCAGCAGTGTATTTGTCGTGTTCTTGAGTGATGCCAGTGTATTCGATTTACGTTACAATGGCCTCTTATTTCCTATGAGTATACTCATAGTGGTGGATTTTGGTACACCAATGCAGAGATTTTGACAGAAATATGACTTTGTGAAGAAATGTATATACAATTCTACTTTTAAGAGATTGATCCTGTGTTCAGAAATACTGCTTCAAACAAGACATTTTTGAAGATTTAGTTTTCAAATGATGAAGTGCTCAGAAGTGTGATATTCAAACTTTGATCCTTTCTTCTTTTCACTGGCACATTTTTCAGTGAGATCAAGAAAATCCATGCCATGGATACTAAGACCCAGGATTGTTTCATCTCTGGCTGTGGAGCAGGTAGTGGTGGTATATCATCATCAGACCAAGGAATTACTACCATCTTTCCACTGCTACTCTCTACCACTCAGCCGGCATCCAGGGTCAACTACATCGCTTACTACTTAAAGAATGGCTCTCTGTGGACCTCTGCCTTCACACCATGGCGTCAGGGTAACTTCACCGGATCTCGACACATCACCTGTTTGTTTGCCTGCATTAGTTACACTATGGTTGCAGTGCAGGTGACGTCGAACCCAGTTTTGCAGCCATCTCTTGGAGAGTTTGTTTTGATCAGCTCCATGGATTTCGATATCACTGTGGGGATGGTCATCAAGGCAGCGGGGGTCAGCATTGTACTCTTCCCTTTTTTCATCATGATTGAAGTACTTTGCCGCTCTGCCCCGACCATTCTGTCATCATGTGGTCAACCTGCCATGTCTCCTCTGGAACGAAACGGAAACTTATTTTTGACAACGGCTCGCAGTTCTCAACCAGTAAAAACTCAGTCTGCATCTGGGAGCTTCTGTGGTGGTGGCGGTGGTGAAGATGAAGGTGTCACAGATGAGTTCCAACGGAAGTCTGTCAGTGCTCCAGATATGCAAGGCTACGGAATGAGACCAGCGGATAACGACAAACAACTAACCGAGGATGCTACAACACACTGCGACAACATTGGCAGTCAATGTGCCACCTGTAACAATACTAATGGCATTGATTCCAAACCAGTCTCCATCACCGATTCAGCAACCACTGTCTCTGATGACATCTGTGAAGATAATCAGTCCATCTGTCCTGCTGACCAACTGAAATGCCATCACAAGTTGACTTGCCACAAGTGTCCTGTATGCCATCGGACCACCGGGAGCAGATATTATGACCCAGGAGCTGGCTGTTCAGGAGAAAACACATCAGCTGGTTACAAGTTCTATAAGCATGGAGGCTTCATTCGTCCAGGGTATGCCTATTCCAGCTCTAGCCTTGATTCAGCAGGTAGTTCTAGAAGTTCTCTGAGCAGTAACCCAACCTTGGCAGATCTCTCCATATCTTCATCCAGTGATTCCAGTAAATCTGCATCCATCAGCGATTCATCATGCATCATCTCCAACCAACCACTGGATGAGTCATCTCCTTACAACACCCAAGGTGCAATCAAACCTACAGCATCTGATGACAATCTTGACATCGTGAACAAACGCCAGACTGCTCCATCACTGTCACCATCCAAGGAGCTGTCAGAATACCGGCCTGACTCCATCTCAAGAGCTACATCAACCTCTGGACTTCTTGAGAAAAAACACAAGACAACCTGCAAATGGGAGGCTGGTGATCAATTTCAAGGCAGCAAGTATCTGGATAATGACAAGAAGATGAAGCAAGAAGACATAACTCCAACAAAATTCATAAAGTACACTGATGCCCTTCTTGAGCCAGAAATCAAAACAGCCATAGTGTTGCGCACCAAGAATTACATCAGCAGGTTCAGTGACATGGGCAAAGGCAGATGGGTGTCCTTACCAAAGCTGGATGCAGTCCTCTCCGAAGAAAACTTCAACACCATTGAGAAGACTGATATCAAGTCTAACCTGTCTGTCCCTGGGACGGCACAAGAGCACAAGATCCAACGCATCGCAGAGAGACCCTATCAACACAGTCCAATGACAACTGGTTCCGACTACATCATCAATATTCCACTGGAATTTGAAATGCCAAAAGTAACCATAGAGAGAACCACCAGCCATAAGTCTTTCTTCTTCAACTTGAAAAAGTGGCTGGTTGGATTTCGCTCCAAGCCTAAGGTTGATGTTGGTGATGACTACAAGCTGGAGGTGACTGAGGAAGATGCTGCCATTAAGTTCTCACCTGAGAACAACTGTCTGCCCTGCAGCCATGATGTCACCTTGGAAGTCCAGGTCGATGAAGAAGCTAAATGTAATAGCAACTCAAAGGGTTCCTCTCAAAGAAATGCCTACATGACAATACCAAATACCTCCGACAGTGACAACATCAGTGCAAAGATGACCGATGACCACCTCAAGGGATCCATCTTCCAGTCATCAAGTCATTTAATTGAGTACCAGCCTGATGCCATTAGTTCTTTCTCTTCAAGCAGCTGGATGAGTATTGTATCATCTCGTGATGACACAAATGAAAACAACAACAATCAAGTGACCATCATCCAAGTCAAGCCTTGTGATGAACCAACCATTAACGTGTCAGCCAGTGCAACCTCCTCTGATGCTGATGTTGCCATGGATGCCAACCAGTCTACATCCAACTCAGCTATCATACAGTCTGATTCCTCTGAGAACGACGTAACCCACTCCGATGGGGATTCGGCCAGTACCAACTCTGGTAGCTCTCCAATAAGCCAGCAGGTGTTTGAAGCCCAGTCAGCATCAACCAACAAGCACTGTACTGGCTGCATCCCATTTCTGACGGTGCTCAGCCAAGTCCTTCTGATTACATCCTCTGTGTTAGCCATCGTATGGTCTGTGTCATCTTTCCACGGTCTCTGCAGGAATACTTTCTTGGAATGGGTCGCAACTGCCATCATTGCCATTCTCTTCCATGCTCTCGTCTTGGACACAATCAAGGCCATCATTTTGACTGTAATTAAAAGGCGCAGAGACAAAAGAGCTACCTCGCCCACGCCTCACACAGTCATTTATTAAACCAGATTCCGGACCATCCATCACACAGACTGTAGCATATCAACATTTTACTCACTCTCAAGCTGTAAATAACCATGGAAAACCTCAATAAAAAAGCAATTAATTTACCTTCGAATCCGAAAATAAACAATCCTCATTTTCACTTGACTCCTTATTCTCACTTCCAGTATCAGTAAATCCTGAATGTTACACTCAACTTTACAGCCTGTTTATGATGGATGGTCCAATCAAGTCTTGCAGCAACTTGTGACAGATTTGGGGAGGGTTCGGGATAAGTTTTAGGATAGACAGTACATTTATCTTTATAGTTACATCAATGAAGAAATTCAAAACTTTACCACCACTTGAAAGACACGAAACATGTGACTGAGACTCGAGTTGAATTATGAGCCCTTTCCTTTTCTGTCACTTCAGTGCTGTCATAATTACAACACACACACAAATGTCAAAAATCCTAGCCACAAGGTGACTGATGTGATATCTGAATAGATTTTTATTTTGCTTTGGAGTTAATGAATTGGAGAAAATAGCCTTGCCTGTCAAACTTTAGGCTAAAGACTCCAAACAAAATAATTTAACTGTGCTACAATCCTTGGCGTTGACTAAAACTTGAATCAGTATCTATGCACTGGAAAATATCAGAAAAGTGCACCCACTTCTGTTGAAGTGTGAAATAAAAAAACTAAAAAAAATAATAAAAAATAAAACTAAAAAAACTGCTTGGGACGAGCAAAGCTATGCCACAATCATGGGAATTCATTGAAAACATTTGTTACTCAAAAAAATGATCAAAAATCTGTATAGAATGTACAACACTCCGATCATTGACAATTTTGATGGAGTAATTTCTCTGACTTTCACCTGAATCAAGATCTGGTAATTGAAATTTGATAGAAACATAGGAATTTTAGACTCTGCAACTTGGATTTTCTTTTCAGCTCAAAGAGGTTTGCTATTTTTGACAACATAATTATGCTAATACCAGTGAAATACATTAATCTCATCATATGCTTGAAATTTAGAACAAATAGCTTGGTAAAAATCTTTAGTCAATTTGAATTGCAGCAGAAAGTAAAAAAACAAAAATGTCTTTGAAATCTATATATGGGACATCACGTGGAAATCATTTGGAAAATATTTGAACTTACCGGTAATTATGAATTCTGAAATGAATATAAATTTAAAATCAATGTAATAGGGCCACTGAATTCAACAATGCAGCATTGGAGGGTATTTAAAGTAGAATAGCAGCATATATTTCTGATGTAGGTAGGGACACTCAGAATTAAGGGGATGAATAAAATTCATGGAAAAACAACAGATCATGTGTGTCCCAATTTTTGTTTGTCTACTTAAGAAAGCCCAAAATATTAAAAAAAGACACTGACAAAGATGAAGGGCAAAGACAAGAAAATTGGCTGTTTTAAATGTCTATTTAAAGAAAATAATGAAATGCAATATGGAAATGAAAAAATATTTCAAACGGAAAATTTGGGAATCTACAAATACATGTACACCATTTCAGGTGCTCGAAGGGGTACTAACCTATTTTTGTTTGGGAAATGTTTTTCCTTATGGTACATAATTATTCATTAATATACAAAAATAGAACGAACTACAATTCAAAGCAACTCTAACTCAGCCTATATGAATGTCCCGGCTTACTGACAATGGGAGACTTTGAAAAGCTGGTGGCAGCAGACAATGCTCCTTTTCCAAGTTATTGCGCAAGCTCAGAACTATGTATGCATGCTCAGAACAATGCGTGCATGCTCGGAACTGGTAAAAAGACTAGTATGTTTGTCGTCGACGAGCATTTCAAAGTGCAGGTATGTCTGCCGACAGGTTTATGTTACAGTAGCCGTGTCCATGAACATTCTTAACCCTAACACTCCTCAGTCCTCCAACAGGTGAAGGATTGAGGAGGGTAAGGGTTAATGGACTATGATGTAATGATCCCCAAGACTCATTAGCACGAGGTGAAAACTCATTTACTGTAAACCATTTTTAGAAACTGTTACTTGACACAATCTGTGTTATACAGACAATCCACTTACAGACTCTTCAGCAAATAAGCTGACATTCTGCTGCAGCACCTTCAATCTCATTCAGTTTATACCCTTCCATTAATTATAAATTACTCTTTGGCCTACAAACTTTTTAAACCTTTAAAGTACAGAATGTCCACACCAGAGTAGGTCATACACTGGATATTGGAAGTATGTCAAAAAATCTGTTTTAAAAATAGGAGCGTAAGAATTTCAGGAAAACATCCGCTTCCAAATGAGTTGTGTAACAGTTTTAGTGACTTTTCTTTTTATGTCTTTTTCTGTGAGCTATCTGTTTCTTCTTATCTTTAGCTTGTTTTTTTTTAACTGGTGTCTCATTTGAAGATACGGCGTCTACCTCATGCTTTCTCTTTCTGGTCTTTTTCGTTTGATGTTCAATTTTTTGTAAAGTACCTTGTTTGGTATTTCCTATCTCATCTTTTCTTGTAGGGTGCATTTCCATTCCGACACCAATTTCGAATTCTGAATTCTGCTTTTTCTTCTTTTTCTTTTTTCCTGTTAGCTCAACTTGGTCAATATCTTCTGGGTTCACATCCGCACTGTAAATCTTCCATTTTTTCTTTTCAGACCTATCACAAGTTCCTTCTTTGTCAGCTGTACTACTATCTTTATGTTTGGATGTTTTCTTTTTTTTCTTTTCACTTACACAAAAGGCACTACCTTCACTTTTTTCAACCTTATCAGCATCACCTCCTTTCCAAACTGGGGAAGCATGTCTTGATTTCTTCACTGTCTTTTTCTTTTCACTCGCAAGGAGCAAGCCATCCATTACTCTTCCACCCATAAAAAGTAACCCATCCAGAACACCATCTTCAATCTCATCACTCGCCACAAGTTCATTGCTGTGTCTCTTTGACTTCTTTATCTTTCCATCCCCGTTCACTTGATCAGAGCTTGTTTTCCTCCTTTTCCCCCCTGTTTTCCTTCCCAGCCCTTTCCCTTCCCCATTTCCATCACTATCTGCTCTCTCACTGGCTGATTCTACCTTCAGCTCCTCTTCCAAATGTCCTCCATTAGATTCCTTCTTGTATTGCCTCTTGTCCTTCTTTGAGCATTTTCCATCCTGTTTATGCTCAGTCTGATTCTCAATCACTCTTTCTTCAGATCTCTGTTCCGCTACATCTTGTGCTTCATCAGTCGGACCTTTTTTGCGTTTCTTCTTTTGCTTCTTTCTGGATGATTCTGCTTCATCTTGCTCGAATCCACTGCTTAAACTTCTGTCAAAATTACTCAGCCCTTCATCCTCTAACGTTTCTGTGATTTCATTCTTAGAAACATGTTGATCCTTGTCTTTTTTCTTTTTTTTCTTCTTTATTGAGTCACCCTCTCTCAATTCAGTCTCCTTGTCAGATCCACCCTCCTCTAGCAACCTTCTTACTGAACTCTCAACCTCCAAGTCATCCTTAGACTTGTGCCACTCACCCTGATCCTTGTCTTTTTTCTTTTTGTTCTTCTTCTTTGATGAGTTACCCTCTCGCAGTTTAGTCTGCTTGTCAAATCCACCCTCATCCAGTAATCCTCTTGCTGTGCTTTCATCCTCCAAGCCATCCTTAGACTTGTTCTGTTCACCCTGATGCTTGTCTTTCTTCTTCTTCTTAGAATGTTTATTTGATTGTCCACCTAAGGCCTCACCATTCAGAGGTCCCTCTTCAGGAATTTCTCTCTCTGGTTGAGCAACTTTGTCCAACGACTTGTCTTCAGTCTGAGTTTTCTGTTTCACAAAAGCAAAGTGAAACAGTGATGGATACTAAGTGTACCCAACAGTAGCTTTTCACATGGCATTAGTAACCTTATTGGTAATCACTTCATTGATTGAGAGAGAATATGGCACTGGAGTGTTCTCATTTAAAACTGCTTTCTATATTTACCTCTGGACAATTATTGTATGCAGGAAGCCAGTATACTCACTCACCTGTTTGTTACCTGCTTCACTGAATACAGCCCACACCTGCTCGATCAGTGAAGCATCCCACACCTTCAGGCTATTTTGGATAAATTTCTGAGCGACAGATGGGAGATAAAAATATTGCATCATTACAAAATCCCCTTATAGCCAGACAGGGCATCCAAATCCAAAACCTAAGAAATTGAAAATGATGCTCCACCACCTGAGCTGTCCAGTTAAATTTGGCCACTCTTTAAATCTGTCATTGTTTAGGAGGTGGTGATGGTTTATTCTGTGAATCCATGGTCCAAACGTGTGACAGCAAACCTGACATTGAAGTATCTGTGTGGCTGATTTTAAACAATTTTATTTGCCTGGCAGGTAATTTGTAGTACTCTTGGAAATCAAAGAATCTGTTCTAAACTCGTGACTCATGCATCATACATGACAGGGACATGAAAAAAAAGGACCCTGTGTTATAAAAATTACCCTCATCCAAAACTGGTCGGTTTGTATAATTGGATCATCCCTTCAGTTATGATGTCTGTTTGGACTGAGTAATGTGGAGGAAAGGGGAGAAAGAGATGTCCCTCTGCAAAAGGATAGGAACAAAGGGGTTCTACTCACCTCAAATTTGGTCTTTTTCCGTGGGATGTTGTTGAAATCAGCTAAACGGTTCAACAAACTTCTGACTCTGGGATTGGTAGATTGTGAGGAACTTACTGCTTGAACAGACTGCAACGATAAATTCAAAGTGCAATGCATTAACTCGATTAACTCGATTAACGGTTCCAAGGTTATATCTACGCTACATGTAAATAACAATAAAAAAAGCTTGCTTAAACCTGACTTTTTTGAACGTAAATCTCAAATTCAAACACTGTGCAAGAAACTATCTCTAAATTCATTGCATTTGATAATAAAAAGAGCTTCATGTTAAGAGATACATGCAGTCATGGGCACATTCAATAGTGCTATATAGGTGTAAGGCAGTGTTGGTATACCCTGTATATCTTTGTCAATGACAGCAACCATGTGTATGCATAGTACTATATTATGGAACATGTCCCAGTTGGCTAAACCTTCCTTAATCCTACACAATCTTCCAAAAGCTCTTGGTGGAATTTTGAAGGATCAGATTAAATACTTGAAATTTGAAATTTAACAAAGTCTGATGCAGAAAAAAAAATGAAATTATCCAGAAACTGTTTTTTCTATGGAAAACCCCTTCTGGGATTTAAAAAAATTAATCTCTTAATTGTCCGTATTATTAAGATCCACTGGTACCAACCTCAATCCACTGTGACTGTTTGACTTCTCCCTTGTTTGGTTTGGCAGTCGCTCTGTAGTCCTTCCCTCCGTACTTCTCGTTTTCCGAGATGCATTTCGTGTGGTATTTATAGTCATTGCCTCTGCAAACCAAGGCAACATTTAAACTAGTGGTTGAAAAAATGTTCAGGAGGGAGTGTACATGGCAGGACATCAGCCAAACAGCATGGATGATACTGTACATGTTGGTATTGTTTTGATATCTCTACACAAGAATGTTAAAACCCTTTGAATCTAAAACCTGTGAATACTTGAACTTATTTTACGGGTTTTATCTTCTTACAGGTCCTGTTCTGGTCATAGGGTGGGAAATGGAGACACATCTTTTCAGAATTCCATTATTCAACACAATGTACAGTTCTTCCTTTTGAGGACTTCAATTATCTCTTCCGTTACCTCTCCAGAAATCATTTCAAAAGAATGGAGAGATACTCACACAAAGTCTTTGCCACAATCCATGCATGACAACACTTCACAGCTGTGGCATTCAGTCAGGTAGTGTTTTTCGACGTGGGCTTTTTTGACACACTCCCCACAAGAATGGCAGGTGAAGAAGACCATTTTATACAGGAACTCTGTCAGGTGTCTGTGACAAGAAAGTACCCATAAAACAAGACACAATAATTAGTTACAAGGCACTAACGAGTCTGAATATTCTAGACACATATACCTAAATGTACCCCGTCTACTTTCATGCAACACATCAGCTATGTTAAACTCGTCAACTGCCACAGGGCTATCGCTAATTCAGTTTTGGTGTAAGAATTCAAGTATGGTTTTTGTACTATTTCTACCCCAAGAAATTCTGAAAAACTTTCTTCTATAATTTAAAACACATGAATATAACAGTGACTGGCCCTTACATGCCTTAGGCCATTCAAAATGATTTCTTCAATTTGCATCAATCAGGTTGGAAATATCAGTCGGGGGATATATATTTTATGAATTTGACTTCTTTACATCCTAGGTCATTGAGGCGTGGGGCCAACACGACGGATACATCATGTTGTGTATGGTGCTGTGGCTATAGATCACGATTGTCCGAAAACTGGACAATATATTATCCCTTGACAAATATACATGTATCAAGCATTTTGTATCAAATTACATGTACGATCGAATATATATTGTCAACGAAAAGTAGATGATCAAACACAGAGCAAGTGTGTGTGCTCATGACTGAAGATTAGTCGAAATTGAAGATAGTTTACAGCATCTGACCTGGACTCGAGTCCACACACGTGTTCAGCTGCGCAAACGATCCGCGCGAGAAGGAGACGAGGCATAATTATGTGCATCTAGCTGCTACTGTCTTGCACCCAATTTAAAACATTTAAATACGGATATACTTTTTTCAGATTGGAACCAGACTAATTGCTGTGACGACCTGGCACCGTCACCTATTGATATGATGTGTATATTTGTACTTGAAACGACGAGAAACTAGATCCCCTGGTATGATCGATATGAACCAGGCCAGGGACTAGACCTCTGCGGTGTGAACTTACTTTTACTTCTAGTACAAACACGAAACAAAAATTTAAAAACCTACTACATTCCAAACTTTTCAGCTAATACCAAGTTACGCATCCTCAAGTGCTGTTACTTGACTCAAACGGGGATTTTCTTCTCTCTAATTTGAAAGGTTGTTCCTTTTATAGGCTTTTTTTATTTGGTAGAAATTAAACGATGTGATTGACCATACGCCAATTTAATAATTCAAACCGCCTTGTACCTGGCGGCTCGGAATTATCCCCATTTCATACATATAATTATCATTGAATCATTATTACAGTTTAATCTAGAGCATCATAATACTTGTGTCATGTTGATTGTTGCAACCATGCACCATTCTCCCCAAATACTCCATACAAATCCTGAGCAAGTTCTGTAAAGATCAACGTGGCAGCTCTTGATGCACTTAGCCTAATTGGACTTCCTTTGCAGTACAAATGAATGGGCAACCACACCCCCTCCCCCGAACTGGGGGGTACCTTATTCAATGTTCCTTCATGTTTGTTTGGGGAAAAGCGAGATTTGTACCTACCCCTTAAATCCCACCCCTCGTACTACCAGATAAATGTGGTGTGAGTTAACCCTCATGAATATTAAATTTGACAGCGTTGCTCAGATTTTTTTTCTTTATCGGGCCGTGGAAGTCACGCCCATCCCATGTTTTGGCTAAGCTGATTTATTGCTTTGTTGAGGCGGTCCCTAATACACACAAGGCTCATCTTGTTCTAGACTAGACTAAGAACTGTGCAACTGGTCCTTGTGACAGAACCCAACTTTAAACAATGCAGTTGTGCACAATAAGTTTCTTTCGTAGCTGCTGCACTCTCGTTTAAGGTCTTCGTCTAATAGATATCTATAAAACCAGAAGTTTGACAGGAGACCAAGTTTCTCCACATTACATGGACACCATGTTCTTTCTTCATGCCTTTCTACTTGCCCTTGTGGGTCTTTCTCTCGCTCAAAAGAACACGGACAGCAGCGATCAAGAATGCGGTCCGTGTGACAAGTCAGCGTGTCCCAGCGATCTGTCTTGCCGTGCTGAGACCGTTCCTGACCGGTGCTCTTGCTGCCAGGTCTGCTCTAAGGTTCTCGGAGAACGGTGCGGTGGGCCGGCAAACGCGGACGGGCGGTGCGCCGACGACTACATATGCGCCGGAAAATCGGTCTATGAGCCGGTCCAAGACGAAGAGATTGGGCAGTGTGTCTGTACGGCACTTGATCGAGTTTGTGGCACCGATGGCGTGGTTTATGACAACAAATGCAAACTGAAAATGGCCAGTTATGAGAGTGTTCAGAACGGACAGCCAGCCATTGAAGTCGACGAAACTGATCAGTTGTGTTCTACAGGTTAGTCAGATTTTCTTATTCACCCAACAATATCTTAATAATTAAGGTTCAAGAAAATTAATAAAAGGGACAGCATCAGTAAAATCAGTAAACATTGTCGCATAAATTGTATTAATTCAAAATGTACTTCTGTCGTTGTGCAAAAGTTAACTTTTACTTTTATTTTTAATAACATTTAACAATTAAAAAACTTGATTTTAAGATTAAAAGTAATTTCTGTAAAAAGAAGTCAAGACAGCCCATTTCAATAGATCCTACGTGTATGTCAACTACTTATATACTTGTTCATCATTCTGCATATATTTATTTGGGGATGAATTCCATGTTCGGAAGACTGGTCCGTAAACTTTTTAAGTGTTTTTCAGGTGAATAATTTAATATGTTATTGCTTTTAGATAGGAAGTACACATGTAAGTCACTTCGGGGAAAATCAGTGGTGTCTGTGTATGGAATGCTTTCCATACATTATTTGTTTGCCTATGTATAGTTTGCTCTGTTCCATTATCCTGTGTACTTTTTTTCTCTTTGTGATTAGCACTATGAGCTTGAAATAGTGCTAGGAATGGTGCAATATGAATACTTTGTTATTGTAATTTTCAAAATTACTAAAAGTACAGTAGTTTTATGCAGTACTTATGCACTATGTTGAATTGCTGTCTTTGTCACTTGAATGCTACAAAATGTCTTTAAAAGTACATATTTCTATGTCATGGAATGTAACTGAGTTTAGCCAAGCTTTCTATGACGGAAACAGATGCCATCAAATATTAAGAAAGCTCTGAATTAAAAAACGGTTGACTACCTTAAAAGGTATATTTCAGCACTTGAGAGTATATGAAAGCTGAAGCTAAACCAATCAAATGATTACAAAAGTAACCTAGGTAGGTATGCCATGAAAACCTATTCCATCTGTCATGAAGTAATTTGATAAACACTTCTGTATTGTAGTTTGTCATCTTTGATTTCTCTGGTAGTCATTACTTATTGGTCAGTGTCACAGATCGGTTACATTTGATACATTCTCAGGATTTTCAAAAAGCTACATGTATTTTTCTAAAGTCGTTTAAATCAACTTTCAGGAATTCTTTATTCCTGATAAAATCCAGTTTTTCACTTTCATTTTTGAAGTAGCTAAGTATCAATTGAATATAAAGTTCTAAATTACGTTTTCTCACTGTCTGTTGAATACAGGATTTTGTTCAATTTTAGAGGTGCCAGACTAGACTGGGTCCCTTTAACTCGTAATGCAGGTCAGCGTCCTGGACTGGTAATGGGGTAGAGAAAACAAAGCTGAATTCCTGTCTAGACTGTAGACATGGATCTCCTACACCCTGTCTGTGCTTTACCATGTCCTTAGATCACTCAGGCATCTTCTGTGGATACCAGGGATTCCAAATTAAAGGTCATAATCTCACTTTCTTTCACTCTGAAGAATTTTTCTACATGTACCTTGCACACTGCAAGGGAAAATTTTGGACAAACAGATTACGTTAATCTCTGTAACTTTTTACATTGCAAAAAGTTGGGTTTTTTTTCAAAATCTGCAGACAAGTAAAACAAAAATCAACGGGATTGTAAATTATGAAGTATGAATAGACTTGTCTGAAATTTTTATACACTGTCCCTGATATTTGCTTACATTTCCCTAATTTAGAAATCTTTTTAGTTCTTCAAACATCTGTCACATTTTTTCAATATTTTCCAATCAGTAACGACCTTTAAAGTTCTACTTTGCCCATGTGCAGATCATTAGTGATGAACTTTTGCTATCACGCTTGTATAAAGTATCCCCAAAGCCACACTGATGCCTTGCCTCTAAAGCCGAGGTCTTTTGGTTGCCTAGCAGCAATCTTCAGTCACCTTTCAAGAACTCCAAACCTGAACTTGCATTCCAGAATGGTTAATCAGGCGTTGAGAGTGGAATCAGGTTACTTTAGGGTTTGATCATACCATACTAGGCAAGGACCAGAGGGAAATCTGTCAAAACTTATTAGGGGGTAAAAATAGCTAATTAGAACCTTGAAACCACAGAGTTTGGAAAGCAAGGGATATTTACCATTCTGACCACTCAGACAGACTCCTACTGAGCTCAGGATTTATTTTTATCCTGTCGGAGTTTAAAAACAATGAGTAGCCAAGCCACAAGTTTCTGTTGTGGTTAGATTGAAATTGAAAGCAATCTGGTCCCCCCCAAGCAGATTAGCAGAAGAAATCGCAGCCAATGTTCAAATTCTAAAAAAATCTGTTCATGATTTTCTACTTATTATCCTTTTCCTTTAATAATTCAGTTAACTCATGCCTTGCCTGGATTCTTTATAAATCCTAAAAACATTTCTCCATTTTTAAGCTCAAGTTTGCATATTTTGCCATGCCTAGTGTATTGTTGATAGAGCCTGTTATTAGAGGCAAACCAGCAAGAAGAAATCCTTAAACCGAAAGAAGATTAAGGGGTGGCTTGTTTGAAGAGGTCATTCCAAGTTGTAGTGGGGTTAATTGCGATGTCAACCAACAGCTTCTCACATATGTTCATCGGCCATATTATTCAGGGTCAGTAAAGCTCTAAATTGGTAAATGTAATGTTTGCCACTGCAGAACTGATTGAATGCACTGTCAGTAGTATAAAGTGCATGTTTCTATAAATACGACTGGCATCTACATGTATTTTTAAATAGTGTTCATTTCCACAGTCACATTGACAAAGATTTTGCTGTCTGGCTTGTTATCAAGGCCCCCAGTGTCTTGGCCCTTATTTATACCTTTACTCAGTTTGATATTTTGGGGGTCTAGGTCTGTGATCATAATCTTGTTAACAGCATTCCCCCCCAAAACTGTGGCCCCAAAATTTTGTTTTCTTTACTCATGGGTCTCTGTTTTTTCCTTTTTTTGTGGGATAGTCTTTCAGATAGAATAGTTTCTTTGTGTTTTAGTATTTAATAAGTATCAATTTGAAACCTGAAAGAATTCGGAATTCATAAAGAACTTGGCCTCTGTTGTTATGGTTTTGGCCTGTGTGCTGTTTGGATATGTTTTTGTAAACATTGCACTTTCAAAAGCAAAGTTACAGGCCTGAATATATTCTACAAAGTCTGTTTAAATCCTTGTTTTTTTTATATACTAGTGTGCTTATTTTTTCTTCCCCACGTATTGTCATTTTTATTTTTTTCAGTCACGAACAGCATGAACTTCCTGAGAGTGGGTGTCATTTTCGGTTGAATCAGTTTTAAGAATTTTAATTTGAAAACTGTACGGTATTGTCATACTAGTTTAGAAAATTCGTTGGATGTGTGTTTTGGGGCTTATTTTCAATACATCTATTTGCTTTTGATTTTCCTAATGTAAACTTCCTTATTCTACAGTTCCTGTCATCACAGAGCCACCCAAGAATTCTATCCTTCAAGTGGGCTCCCAGTCCGAACTCAGCTGTGAGGCTTATGGCCGGCCCATTCCTGACATCATCTGGATGAAGGATGGAGAGGTGTTGCCTGGTAACCACCTCAACATAGCAACCCGCAAGAGGAATGGCCCAGTGAAGTTTGCCATGACAAGCTGGGTTTTGGTAGGTGTAAAGAGGATACATGTATGTGGGTGATTCCAGAAATTAGGGGTCCATTTTTTTTTTCGTAAAGAATTGGAAATAGTGCAATATTTGAAAATACTTGGGAAGGTTTCCTGTTCAGTATGGGATTCTTTCAGCACTGAAAGAAAGTTTAATGTGTCATTTTTATTACTTTTTTCAATCCCTTCCCTTGTCGTTACCCGTTGATTTAACCTAGTTTCATAAGTAGTTCTTTTCCTTCTTAATTTATTGGATATCAAAGTGATATTCAAAGTGATAGCGAACTGTGTCAGTATTCTTCGCTGGATTTATAAATGTCTCCAAGATTTGTCTGAACTTGAAGGTGGGGTTCACAGACAAGCCAGACAGTTACTTGGAGCTATGAATTGATTGAATGGTAGTTGACGTTCATTTCCTGTCTGCAAAATTGCTGTCTGGTTTGATATAGTGTCGTCATTTGCAGGCCCTATGTTAAAATTTGCTGAGCTGTTTGAGCAGTTAACTAAGAGGAATCTGTTTGATTGACAGGTTTTTGTTTTATTATGTTGTGTTAGGGTAGGGGTTTTGTTTCTAATATTTCCTGGCAACATGTTGCAATTTTGCAAAAAATTTTTTAGGTTTCCCTCAAAGTTGTTGAAACTGGTTGCTTAAGATTTGGTGTGAATAAAACATTTGACCCTCTTGGATATCAAAGTCTCCTGGAATATTGATTTAATTAGTGCTAAGACTTAACATCAGGGTTGAAATCTTGGGCCTTTGGTACATTGCCATTCCATAGTAATCGTGTAGCTTGTGTTCTTACCTTTTTAGATCAATGTATCACCTGATGATGGGGGATTATATACCTGCATGGCCAGCAACAGCCAAGGAGAAACAGAATCCTTGGCAACGGTTGTCATAGGTCAGAAGATTGCAGATGATGTTGATACTAATCAAGTTCCCATCGAATTGTAGATTAAAAATGGTAAGATATAATCTATCTGTATTTGATTTATAGAATTGTAACAAGTTCTAACTATCCTGATGATTGGCTGCTTACTGTACAAACTTTGGTCAGAATTGAGGGCACGAAGCTCAGAGAAAATAACAGTGGGTGATTTTTGCTTCAAAATTTGCACCTTGGAAATAATTTGAAGTGTGTTTTATGTCAACACTTTGTTTTTATCTCCAGACCTTTCAAATTCATGGGTAAGGCTGCTGTTAAAATGAGTCATGTTTTTGCATGTATTCCTTCTCACATTCACACACACTGTAGATGTGTTCTAAGTCTAGTTGGGAGAAGAAGACAGCTAGCTAACAGCTAACATGCAGACTGCTCATGGTGCTATCCTGCCAACAGAGGGGGCTATTTAAGTAAGCCTAGTATTTAATCAGTCAAATTTTTATAATTCAATATTATGCATGTTAATTAATTATTTATAGTTCCAGGGATGGATGTACAGGTTGTCAAAAACAGGATCGTTTGACAGGAAATACATTGTGTGATTTGGTGACAAGTGTTGGCCACAAGAAAGGATGTTTCAATTAAAATTGGATTATTTAATGGCAGTTTCATCGGAAGTGAACATATGTCGCCCTTGATAAGTCTCTACCAGCAAGAGTGGCTCATTTTGCTATAGATTCTTCATACTTTTTAATTAATGTAGTTCAAAGTGTCCACAACTTTCCAACTAAACTTTTAGACAGCAGGCTAATTTGCTGGTATCAATGTACATCAAAGAATAACCAATTCAATATATTTTGTAAACTTTCAGATTTGTTTTTTAGTTTGTAGTGACTTTTTAATTGGGAGTGTAATATCAAGAGCATATATCTCATAAAAAAGGGGCCACCTTATTGAGTAGAGTGCTTAAATTCCATTTTTTTAATTGTTACCTGGGTGCATTATGTACTTACCATAAAAAATGTAGGGAAAAGATCTTTCAGTTTTTTACCAGAGTTGTAGGTACCTTGCAATATTTTTAAAATTATAAGGATAGAATTTTTCTAGTTTCGCATGGAAGAAAAAAAATTAAATGATCTAGCATTCATGAGAAAACTGATCATTCAAACGTGGAGTTAGTATCTCCTTTTCACTTGAACTATGCAAAAATGTTGTAGATTTAGAAAGGACAACAGTTAATTTAAAGTCCAGACGTTTGTAGTGTATTTAATTTTTCCTTCCTCATCCAACCGTGCCTTCACTACATGGGTATATTTTTTTATCAGAACTTTGTTTAAATCTGACAAAACATCCCATTTTAGTACTTGGTCTTTGAGGTAGCTAGCTTCACACATCATAATTGAAACTTTTTTAGTAAGTTATTGGATCAACAGATTCTTTCAGTCCTGTCATTCTTTCATTAAAAATCAACTTTTCAGTTTCTGTTGCCGCCTTTCATAATTTTTTCAGATCGTCTTTTCCAGTAACAACAGTCATAATTATGCATTGATAAATTAATGTGTATTTTTTTGTTATAAAATGTAAACATATGCTGCATTTGTCCTTTGACCGAGTTGAAGTTAAAGGCAACCAAAATCCTGTCTTCCATTGACACCGTAGAGTATTGCTTTTCACACATAGCTTTTGGTTCTCTTTGAGTCATAACAATTGTGTGTTGAAGTATTGGTATTTTACGGTGTGTAAACAAGTAGATGATTAACTTGTATTTTAACTTAAAGTTAACAATAAATAAATAAATCCAATACATAATGGATTTCTTTTCTGCGGAAAAGATTCGTATTTGCTTTTTATTTTGGATTATATTTTATTAGCATTTTCATCCATTGATGTGATCACTGTGACTGATATCACCTTCTTTCGTGGGAGACATATTGGCAGTCATAATGACTTTGTCTTATTGTCGACCAGTTTTTGTCACCAAGGATGAAATCTGTCTCGTGTCCATGTGTAGTTTTTTCTGCGTCTTTTTGATTTCATTTCATCCTTTTTTCCCTACAATTTCATCCAAATATTTTCTCCCTACATCAATACAAACATTTCTTCACATACGTCAAGGACACAGATTATCATCTGCATATTTAAAATCAAATATACATCAGTATTTATTTGGCAATGCTGCTACGGTTGAAAGGCACGTTCAAAGTTACAGCACAACAATATCCATGTACCATCAATAATGTGCTGTTTTATTATGGTTACTTGTTGGCACGTTTCATGAAATCTGAACGGGAACACGAGATGACATTTTACAATGGTTTGCTATCAAATAAATAATAATCAAACTCCAAACATGAGTGTTGAAATCGTTTAATCTTAATAAATAAGACTGAATGAGTAATATAAAAGCTTGATGCCTGAAAAAGATAACATTTCATTTTGAGTGGAAAAAGGCTTAAAAGAGAATAAGAGCTGCTTGATATTACACAACATGGCCTACCAATCTTGAGAAATAATATGGCCTAAGTATTGACCTTCAATTTTCTTTATTATCATGACAACTGATAGCTCTCAAACTCGAAAGTACATATATTAAATATCTGTACATGTACTGATAAATATTTGGCACTTTAAAGCCTTTTTTTCTGATCGTAAGACTTCTCCCATCAGTGATTCATGACTGCTTCATGAAGGACAATGACAAATTTCCGGAAATGAAAGGCCTTGACGTTATCATGTTCATCTTGGTAGGTGTTGCTCTGCCCCTACCATCGAAGTTTTGTTGTCATTGTAACCATTCTTAGCCAGTTACTGATCTTCATCTTCACTCAGGTCAAGGGAGTCGTCACTAAGGTCATCCTCTTGATGAGATGATACCTCAGAAATGTCATCTGTCATTTGAAAAAGAAAATAATGAGGGGAAGAGATTGTCAGTAACAAATGAACCAGAAATTCTCGGTATTCCTGATTACAGTTCCTTCTTGTGAGGCGAATTCCAAAAACATATTTTCAAAGGCTAGTCAGAGAGGTTATCTGTTCCTCCTTTAATCAACTCAATTGACAAATGGAACATGGTTCAACATTACACCAGGCGATATTTCGGGTCATTTTAAAGGGAAATAGATTTCTATGCTATTGATGATAGTTTATGGGAAATGAACATACTGAACAATCAATACTTTGCATATTTCTCGTGGTTGTATTTTGTTTCTTGGTGATGTAAATCACCATAATGCAAAACATCTTTACTCACCCATTGTCTCTGTGACTGTCAGAAGTTTCTTTGCAGACCCAATCAGTCGCTTGACATTCACTTTCTTTGGACGGGAAGAATCTACAGCATGGAAAAAGGACAAATGCACTTTACAAAAACCTTAAGATTTTGATATTTGACGGTGTAACTTTGTAATTGTTGACAGTTTGAGTTCATGTTCTGCTCACCGTCATTATCCAGTTTGACAGTGTCAATCCCCTCAACAATCGTCTTGGTGTTAGTCTTGAAAACTTCTTCGAGATTTCCTCCAACAGTTGGATTCAGCAGCTTTTCGAACACTTTGATGTTGCGGACCCATGTGGCATATTTCTGGAATTTCTTGGGGGCTTTCTTGGTTACAGTTGACGTTTCCTTCAACGTTTTCTCATACCGGTCTTCATAGATGAAGTCGGGCAGACCATAAACCTCACTGCTGCGGTGGAGACGATCTTCCTCTACACTCTTCCAAGAGACATACTGACGGCGAAAACGGCGGACCTGGTCCTCGTCAAACTTGTCTCTTACCTGAAACGGCAAAAAATTATATGATAAAATCTGAACTTTATTCCAACATCACGTTCTTAGAAAAAAAATCGCTCAACCTATAAGAATGTGGAATTTTACATCAGTTTGACAGCAATTAATCAACTTCGATTTTTTTGTCTTCGTTCTCTTATCAGACCTCGGTGGGACCAAAACAACAATTTGACTTGTAATTCAAACCCACTAAGTTAAGTTTTAATATCCAGTGGTTGCGTAAATTCACAAATGAGGAGGCCTTTTATTTTTGGCCTAATACTGGATTTGAACTCACCAGACGTTTTAGTCACTTACCCTTTTGAGAGCCATCCTCTGTCTGACAACACTGTCCATTTTCTGTTTCTCTTTCTCTTTCAGTTCTCGATTGTAATCTTCCACCTCTTTCTTCTGCACCTGTTCCATCTTCTGCAACACTCTCACCTGTCTCTGGAGTTTATAAGTTTTATTCCCATATACTGACTGCAAGGTCTTTTGTTTCACTAGACTCTTCCTTGTAATGATGACGGGCTTGCGAAAACGTTTCTTCTGAGTTGCTGGTGGTTTACTTGTTAGAGTGGTACTGGTGCTTTGACTTCCTCGGGAGGTAGTCCAGACTCGAACCTGGGGAATGTCCCTCCTTTCAGATGATGCCTTTGAGGAAGAATAGGCTGAGGGTATGTGGGAGTTCTGTCTCGTCACCTCTCGGTTGTTGGTAAGAACAGCGCTTGATTTACTCCGATTTGGCAAATATTTTGGAGTTTTGGTTTCGATTTGAGACGAGGATTGTGTTCGTCTCTCACTTTTTAGTTTACTTTCTTTCAAGTTGACGGGTTCATCTTTACTCGAAGCTAAGGGAATGTTTTTATGCTTCATTTTCTGAGCTCCAGCTTTTTTCTCCCCGTTTTCTTTAATGGTAAACTTGTCCTCATGATCCTTCGGGAATTTGATCGGGGAACCATTAGGTATCCTGGGTGATGAGGATTTGTTGGGTGAGTGGATCTTGTTGGAATCCTTTGCAATGCGGATGGTGTCACTTGATGGTTGGTGGGAGTTGTCAGCTGCATTTCGGCTGTCAATAAATGATTAAATAAGCAACATTAATTATAACATTGTTTCATAATCCAAATTAACGATACGTGTACTTCGTCCTTGAACGTATCAGGTTCTGCTTTCTGTGTTATTCTTGAAAAGTTCAGTAACTTTTCATGATGAAATTCGCGTCGATGTACGAAAGTCCTAAGAGGCTGCACTGTCTCTTCTGGGATTGAAACTTACTAACCCCTGATTGGCATATAAGACGAGTACTTGCCTAGTTTCTTTGATGGAGGAGGAGTTGGCTCTAGCATCAGCCCAAGAAGAAGCCCATCGTTTACCACCCTGAATTTCCTTTCGACCTGCCTCTGTGGCTGTTGATGTTCCATGCACCTGTTGCTTTAGTGGTTCTAGTGAAGAATATGAGAGCAAATACTTGAGCCAGTGTCATCTGGTAGTGTGGGTTATTGGCAAATTTACCATTCTTTCAAGTACTTTGTCAACCAAAATAATTATTAGCCAAGCATTTTAGATGAGGTTAAAGTGGATTTTCCCCATCTTACAAATTTCCCGCTGAGTCTTGACAATTCTGTTGTTAAGTATAAAAATTCTAATTACAAGTAAAATTGGAATCGGACATTTTTATACCTAACGTCTGACTAAAGGCAAGGAATAGTCCAATCCGAATGCGTTTCTATGCAACAAAAGATTAACCGGTGTGGATAGCAACGAAAAGCTTCTGACTGTTGTTTTCACTTGTTTATGCCCAACCCATGGACGACGGCTGTGTCCACGATTTCTCTCGTTTTTCCTTAAACTTACCGCTGAGTAGGTTATTAATCTTGGGCAGTCTAGGCATAGGAACACGCTGTTGTCTGTCATGGTTGGTGTGATGACGATTCACTTCATTAGGTGCTGAGCTGCTTCCACGATCTGCAAAAAAATATCAACCCCAAAGTTTGTTTAGTCATCCGTCACTGCCCTTGAAGGTCCAGCTGAGGTTGGCAATTTTGGAGGTTTTGTTCAGAAGACTTTCAAAATTTCTATTTCCTTTACACTCGTGAACTTCATCCGATAAACTCTAAGTAAATATTGCGAACTTGTAGTACCTTCGTCCTTTTTATGTCTTGCCGAATGTACAGGCACGCTCCGTGTTACATAACGACTGTCGTTATTATTGGCCTTCTTGTGGTTACCATGGTGACTAGGTAGCGACACCAATGGTTCTTGGGTTCCGGTGCTCTTTTGTTGTTGTCTTGGTTTCGATTGGTACTTGATTTGTCCTCCACCGCTCAAGCTGAAAGAGAAAACAATGTAATTATTTAGTTATTAACTAAGAGAGAGAGACAGTTGCTCAGTTCGTTCCTTGGACTGTTTGTCATGCTAGCATACTCCTGTGCTCACCTCTGTGTCTGGTGGTTCAGTTGCTAATTACGTTGGATTCGAGCGAAACGTTACCACAGAAATCAATGTGCAGTTGATATTTCTGATTGTAAATCAGTCAGTTTATATGATATTTACTTAAGGTTTATGAAGGTGGCCTATACCGTTGAATTCACAAAAGAGACCATTTAAATGAAAAATGCAAAGATTTTGGAAACCATAACAGTCTTGATTTAGGCGCACTTCTTGAACTTTAAACCATAGACCCAGTCAATATCGGACACTTTATCAGCACAGCATAGATGCAAACGGTAGCAACGCGCGATGTGTTGCTCCCTTTGATTGAGATCGTAAACTATTGAAGAGGAAAAGCTGTGTTCAATGTAATAAAAGAATCGTTTACACTCCAGCAGCAATACAAACTCTGATAGCTGAGGTCAGAATATTTAAACAGTCAGTTTTTTGTGTGTTGCATTTGTTGACATCTGATTGTAACTAGGACAACAAAGCAATTAGCGCGTACCCGTCGTTTTTTCACTTGGTCGGCATTTCAAGCGCAATTTAGAATTTCGTAAACGCAATATACACAATTCTTTTTTCATTTGTGTGTTTGTTACAAGTTGCAGAAATAACTTGAAAGTGTTGCAAATCTGTTTTTTATATTTGATTTATATTTGATTCAGGGTGAGGTTCAGTTGAGGACCGAAGCATAAGCATTATAGAACTTGGATCACATGTCGAGAAGCAAGAAAGATAATCCATTTCACAATTTGGTGACTACAATTTCCGAATAGCCTGGTGGCGATACCATAACAAACAGAACATTGATCTCGATATACATGTATCAAATCTTCTAAAACACCTGTTTAGGCTCTAACATTGTTGTGAACCCAGTCGCTTTGGGAGGGTTTGATAGTTTGTTTTAACGGCCATCTGCTTTTAACGGTGCCTTGCTTTTGTTCTTCGTTGACCTGCAGTCTCACATTCCTGATATCCAATACACAAAGTATGACATGACTCCTGTTGTAAATTGTACAAGCATGGAATAGACCCCATTGGGTTGAGTGTTTCCTTTTACAGCTGACATTTTTTTAGTGCAAGAACATCGTCCTTAAAAGGCTTTTTTTCTCTCAATAAAGTCAGATTGTTAGCTTATATGACTATACCTGAATTTCACCGTAAAGACTCAATCGTCTTCAAAATCTAAGTAAATTGTTGAGTTTATGAAAGCAATGACGTATCGTAAATTTTGTATTTTTAGTAATTTACTGAGGAAAGGCCGTTTCGAGCCTCGAAGCATCCTATTCTCTACACATACTAGACATAAAGTGCTTGAACAGTAAGATTTTCCTCGTGTTTGAGGAGTGGAGACGTAGAGCTGAGCTGTTCCTAACTTTATCGGATCACCAACGAAGCCATCACCTGGGATTAGACCATTTTTTGCGCCAACTCCCTCTTTATGAGAGATTCAGCGCTCGTTTTTAGCAGTATATATAAAACGCTTGAATAGTTTGGTTAGTTGTGCCGAACGATCCAGCACAATAAGAAAAGAAGAAACAGGATTGGTTATGCACCGTCTCCCACGTCGAGCCTACATAAAAGGATATCATTATACCTAACAAAAATGGATTTTCGTTGTCATAGCGTTAATAACGCAACGCACTTTTTTTTTCTTTGCAGAATGCGCGGAATCCTCGCTGGGAGATGGCCTTCCCGGGAATCCACTGCTGTATCAAACTTACGTTAAAGAAATTAATTCATCACTAGTGATACACTGAGTCTAAAAGGAGCCATGTTTGCAAATTTCTGAGCAACTTCCACATTCAACATAATAAGTCGTCTTGTAATCAAGCTGTAACGTGGATAAAATTTCTCTGCGACATACCTTGGCAACGAACACGTAAATGTACCGGTGGTGTCTCTTAGAGTTGAGACATTATTGTCCGTCCCTGTCCCAAGATTCACTCCGCTTCCAAAATGTCCAATTAACATTGTCTTCGTTGCATCATTACACAGATTCCGACTTCGTCGAGGACAAAACTGGCCAGGTTTTTCCACATCCCTCCAACTCTGTTACTGGCTACCGTGCTACTTCCACTCCGGCATCTAACTCAGTGTAACTCTAAATCTATGATTCAGCTGCATGTGTTCGGCCCTCCAGGGTTCTGCTTCGCTAGACTAATTCGGAACTCGTACCCCACAGACTTATCAAATGAGTATTCAGGGTCAGAGTGATAAAGACCTTTACACCCTTGCGGTGTCGAGCTAAAGCATCCCAACAAGGGGACGTTCCCTTCATTTCATAAATGTGATTCAGAGTAAACAGTTTTCCTTTCGTTCTGCGCTTCCATTTTGTTTCCATTGCGAAGAGGAATATAAACACAAGACGTTTGTTATCTGGTGTCGTCTGTAGGGGATTAGCGGTACCTCGGCTTAAGCGAATAAGCTCCTTAAAGCCGTCGGTTGCAATTTAAGACCCACTAATAATATCTCCAAACACTGATAAAAGCTGCGGAACTGAACAACGAAAAGTGCTTGAATGGGTATGATGCCTTGTTTTTCAATAGGTATTTATTCATTTCGACTTATGTGTTCAATTATTCGGTTTTGTATGAGCGCTTGAGCAGGCAGAGTAAAATCACCGCTTGCAGATTTCAACAATTTGAATTTACCACAAGTATTTGGACATTTTATAAAGTCACTCCTTTATTTCTAAATTACACTGCAGTTGTGTCGCCGTCAAATGATGGACTCAAATCTAATAATTATGTTATCCTTCATCGAAGGCCTCAAAAAGGATGTTTCTCTTACTAGTGTCTCTCTTTTTTCTTCATTTCCCGTCTGGAGGGGATCTTTTCATGATAATGCAACCGCGTCTAGGCGGATTCTCGCCTTTTTATTGTCCCACTAGCAACGTAAAGCGTGAAATCTGCTATTGTTTTTCCACTATAGGTTAAAGCATGGATGAATACCTGTTGAGTAAACACCAAGAGAGGATTTATGCTGATAGGCTGAGCCGAAAGTAAACTAGGGGTGAATTAAAAACTCATCTTGGTCACGATTGATTATGTGATTTACCCCGACATTGTATAGCAGTAGAGCCGATCATACCTCTGATTCTTCCTCAATAATTAAAGGTCATCATAAAATCTGCCAGGATCAAAGCTATATTCCTCCGAGCATTTGTACGCAACTTTGCAACCAACTCAGGTCTAGCCTGGGTGTACCATATTCCTCCATATATTAATACAGACCATATTGTAATTATGCTGGCTAGTTTCTCGTGAAATCCATTAACATTTCTGCAAGATAACCAGGCTATACTGTAAGCGTATACTTTTTGTTTGGTTAGTTAAAACAAACAGCACTGTGATTGGGAAGTAAGAGGCTTATTTCCTCGAGCTTTAAAAGTGACTTTTAAATCAGAATGTCAAGTGGGGTACTCATTATGTTGAAGACGCTAAGGAAGTACATGTTTATGTAAGTTTCGTTCAGGAAACTTTCCCGCATACAAATAGGTACCCGAAAACGAACGGGAAAAAATTACCCTCCCTCAAACACTTTGACAAAGCGTGTCCGTTTCCTAAACGCAAATAAATTTGGGTTCGGAATCGAATACAGTCGGATGAATAAGTTTGGAGAAGTAGCGTGAACAACCACCATCACCTTGTCCTATGCACTGATTTTTTTCTTTAGAATAGAGACAAGCAACGAAATTAGGCACAATTTGGCCCACCTCAATGACACTTTACGCCTGGAAACTTTGCAAAAGACGCACCTGATACATCCCCATATTGCATTGATCTTCAATGAAATCTTGCCGAACGACAACAATTATTTCAGACTTGTGTGAATACCTACCCTAACTGCTCGTAAGTAGTTTTTGTATATGCGGTTAGCGGGCGGGTGTCGGCATTTTCACGATGGCAACATGATCTAGCCGAGACGGAGTCTGCGGATGAAAGTTGTCGCCGTGATACCACCGACGGTGCGCTTCCAACGTTACGGGGATAACAGCTCCTCTCACGGGGAAAGCTGTCTGGAGGCTCCTGCTGAGGACGCCGAAGAGTTAGAATAAAAGCTGGAGCAACAGGTCCAACTTCCATTTTTTAGAGTGGACCGCGTGCAAGAATAAGCAACGGAGTTGTTTGCCGATGTCCTTATAAGTTATTGTGGTTTCATCAGTGCAGCAACAAATAGCCTTGGTGTCAGTGACACACTGCCATGGCAACGGAGGTTGGTAATAGTCTGGCTCCATTTGGTGTATTGCGTTTCGTAATTTTCATTGGTCACTCGTACCTGTCAACATGTTAATCTTAAATTACAGAAATCAAACGCATAAATTAAACACCAAAGGTGTTAATTTTAAGAATTAGAATGTAACCTGAATTCATACTTGGTGCTTTTAGGAACTAGGCCTACACGTATTTATACCTGTATTTATGCCAAGCAATTAAAGTCGTTTCCAAATCATTTTTACTCTCTGTGGTTCAAAGGTTATGCTTGTCTTTTTGTGACGGTTATGCTTCATTAAAATGCCAAGGAGGACATCATATTAATCATTTTTGAAATTTTGCTTGTGTGTTATCACTTTATGGTGACTGTACTGGGGGTTTATTTAGGATTGTATGATTTCACTAATCGGCACAAGATCGATGACGCTCCTGTGCTGACCAAGTCTGTCATTCTTCGGTGTTTCTGCCCCTCGGTTAAGACACTTCATGGTTGCCTAGGTGGCTAATGAAACGACGAAGAGAAGGGCCTGATTCACTGACCAGCATGAAAGGAGCTTGTTGTGGTTGATGAATTACGGGAGCTAATAGTACGCTATAATCATACAATATTATGTAGATAGAACGCTGTAAACTTGTGACCGACTTTTCAGTCAGAGTGACCTTTTCTTTTCAAAGATCTTAACCAGATGACAGCATTTGAAACAACACAGTAAACTATGGTGACTTGCTCCCCTGGTGACTTGAGGAGCCATGTAATTGTGGGTATATTATACATCATAGTAAAAATGACCAAAGGAAATGAAACAACAAAATGATAGTTGCAACGTACAAATCCTGTCCCTCGGCAGTGTAGATGTATACTGCTCTTGGCGTCATCATGACGTCATTCCAAAATGTCCTGGCTACTCAAAAAAGAAATTATGAAATGCTTCCAAGTTTAACACAGAACGTGAGAATCTCTTCTGATGTGGTGTGATGAGTTTGCCATCGCAATAGTGTGCATTAGATTTAGTGTATGACATGCACACTTTTATATAAATACAAATTCGTCACTTGAGCTAACTCAGACCGTTAACAGCTGGGGGCTGGGTATCGAACCCTTCGTCGATTCACACGCTCTTGTTTATCACGGTAGGCCAGTTTTCTGTCTTTATGCGTAACAATGAAGACACAAAAAACACACCGTGACCTGTCCTCCCCTCGGGGCATCTGAAAATGAGACCTTGGGAATGAACTTCTTAATCCAACCCCAACTAAATCTCCAGTCAGTAATGCCCCTTCATTTCTCTATCAAATTGCTTGTATTCAGAGACTAAACATGAATCGAAATTCGGTTCCTTGTTTTTGACGGTTTACAGAATGGACAGTGACGAATGACAGATTTTGTACGAGTTGAAAAGTACGGTTGTGTCACGTGTTTGTGATTGCATGTCTCAATCAAGCGGACATGTTTGTTTCTATGAACCGTGTCGTCATGGTGACACATTACAGCGTCCCCTATCGTATTCACAATGATCACTGGCAAGTGTAGCGGTAGGACTACGGGGGGGGGTGACAAAAACCATGCAAAAGGAAAACAAAATTTATCTCGAGATATGAAGTACAGAGCAGAGATCAGACAGGTTTGTGTATTGGACTAAACGTGCAACGCATGAAAAAGATCTGAATTCGTTTTCTCGGTGCAATGTCAAGTGCCCCGTGATACGTGAGGTAGGACTGTCAACCTCCAATTCTAACAGTAGCTTAGGCCCATTTGATTCAACATCGAACCACCCACTCGACCTCGATACTCTCCTGCAACCGTGATTCCAACATTTTTTGCATGTATTGAGGCGATGTTTGCTAACAGCTTGCCAGCGTTATAACGGCAGCTCTTAGTAGTTGTTTGGTCCCAGAGTGCAGAAATCAATACCAACGTTCATTGTCATTCTGAGAAATATTATCACAGAACCAAATTGATTATTAGCTGTTTGTACAGGTATCCCTTTTGAGAGATGTTGAACTTTAAAGCTATACTGAGTGAACAGGTACCGAACGTGCTGAGTACTGTCTAGCCCTACCAGAATTTCACCTAATGTGATGTATTGCATCTCAAATTTAACCTCCCCCCAAATAAAACAAACATTCCCCCAAAATGTGAAGTAACGGTAAAAAGTTGTTTCATTTGGATTTATTTTTACGTATGTCAAACTAAATCGCTACAAAGCAATTACGAATAGCACACTTTTACAGAATGCCTCCAGCTGGGGAAAGTGGGATTACATATATCTGACGGGTCAAATTATGGCAGAAATGTGGTAGTCAGTGTACAGACCCAAGTACAGGTTTATGTCAAACAACGTTATCAAATTATTTTGACACTTCCATTATAATCCAAGAATACCGGGACTTTTCCGTTTAACACACAAATCCCTCTGGCTCCTCGAGAAATGCAATTTTTCATTGGTACAAAGATTCAGTAATTCCATCCACTACAGATTACATGTACATATTTAATTACAAATGGATTCCAGTCCGTGTATCTAAGTAAGAAAATGTAACTTCTAAATATGGAATACTCACTTCTCAACAATTTTTAATAGCACCATTTAAAAAAAAAGCCTGTTGTAATTAAGTGTGCGACTTTAACGGGCGCCCTCTTTTGACGTGCTTGCGTTATCAGCCAGTTTGTGTAACCTTTCATCTTGGCCTTTTTCTGCAATTAATTCCAAACATAAAGTTGCCCGTCATGGTGGACAAGGTAATGCCCATACATGTATTTTGAGCTTCTTAAAATCTCCAGTTACATTTAACAACACGATAGTTCAACCTGCAATGAAACGAAATGAGAGTTGATACCAAAGTAATTTGTGTGTAGGACGACCTAATTATGGACATGCCTTTGGTAATTATTTGGCTGCTCCAGGGATTGGCTTAGCTTTCTCGACGACTATAATGTTGGCTCTTCCGCTGTCCTCGCCATTATCGTTGATACCGACACACTCGTACTCGCCTGCATCTTCCACCTCGAGCCTCATAATCTGCAGCCAACCTGTAACCTCGTACTCTTCAGGGCCACCCCTAGTCTGAATGGCCACCCGATTGTTACCACTGTCTCCGCTAGGTATAAAGTCAGCGGGGCCGTCAGGTCCGATCTTACGCCACTCGATCCTGGGCACGGGGTTCCCTTTCACCTCGCACTGGAGATACACGTTGCCCACGGTAGAATTGGTGACGCTATTAGGTGGTGTTACCACCTTCGGAGCTTTATGAACAAAGAGGAAAGTGTCGGTATTACTCAGAAATGATTTGTTTTCAATATTTTATTGATGTTGTTATTGTTCGAACTTTAGCGGTCAATTATCATGAGGTCAGCACGAAGTCAGATATGTCATGCTGCGAATCGCCCCCTAGATCGACCATTCCACTGTCAAGAACAGACAACCTAACTAGATAAGGTCAGCACTTAATTTTAAGTCTCAAGAAATCAATCTGACGTCGTGTATATTTGTTTTGTCGTTCTTATCTGTTATAACAATAGATGTCCCGTGAACCTTTCACTGCAGTTTCGGCAAAGGGAAAAGAACGCCAAAAATGATTTTCCACTAATCAGCGTAAGGCTTTGAACGCAAAGAAATTTAATGAAAATGTAAAAAGTCGAATCTACGTAATGAGAAACAATTATCCTTTTAAATCTCTTAATGCACTGACCTCCTTCACACATTCCCGGTTTCTTTCTCCCGATAGTTTGTCCCGTCTCAAAAGCAACCTTGTTCATCCTACACTCCGTCTCATACGTCTCCCCGTCAGACCCACATACCATCTGCTCATTTTGACAGTAGCAGATCATTTCAGGTTTGGCCCCAACCGGTACCCCGTAGTTGGCCCGGCATGTTAACCCTTTCCCGCACAGACCAAAGTTGTGCTCCTTTTCAGCCAGTTCCTTGGCGGACAACTCTTCCGGATCACAGAACTGGTATTCGCCGTTACCGCAGCGCTTGCAACACCGGCACGGATCTCTCGTATCGTTGACCAGGCCATGCGGACATTTATCCTCGCTGACTACCTCACAAATGACCGCGTCACAACTGCAGTCTTCGGTTGAGGGCTCATCAGCTGCATTCTCTTTTTCCTCAGGTTTGTCAGCTTCTTCAGAGACGGTGAACTCTTGCAGTACAAGGAGAACTAATGCCCAGAACAAAAATCTTAAAGTCTTCATTTCTTCGGTCCAGCAATCGTGTCAATTAAGACAACACTTCTTATTTGCCTCTCGATGGAAAAATAGAAATATCTGCCTTGTTTCCTGACTTTTGTTTCCAACCGTTTGGATGAGCTAGTGTGCTGCCCTTTTTAATATCAAAATTGTCCGTTTCCAAAGCACCTTACTTTGGTACAAATTTTTGAACAACGGGCTAATTTGTTTTCAGTATCGATAATTTTGTATGTGACGACTAGGGTTTCGGAAACTACTCGACCGGCGAGCTTCCGTGATCTCAACCAAGACAAGAATGCAGCCAGCCGCACCTCGACCTCTCCAAAAATGGCTCAGCCCGGCAGGGGTCCTGACTATTAGCCTATCAGAAACCACGAGCTATATTCGTCATAATCAGTGATAACTAACTGGGCTGGTATCCCGCAGCCGTAATATGTCCTGGCACAGCGGTCCACTTGTTACCATGAGAATCTGATATTTTTATCAGTTGTCTAATGGTCATTCCAATCACTTATCGATGAAAATCAACAACTGTTTGAGAATACTGCGAACATTTAGTGTTTAAGTATGCACAAAATATTAACAACGAAGAAAACATGTTCAAATTAAGAAAAAATAGTTTCAGCCCTGACTTCAACAACCATCAACTGCTGAGAATACTCCTGAAGTCTGTGTTGCCATGGCAATGGGGATCTGGCTCACGGGTAATTCCTCTTTAAGGTCAGTTCACTTTAGAGACAGCCTCCATTTAACGTTCAACGTCACGATTGCCAGTTAATTTTCGTGTTCTTTGAGCCTCGCTGCTAAACAAACTACTTTTAATCCCAGTGAATGAATCGATTTAAACAACATTGCATGCGCATAAAACTATTTAATAGATTATTAAATGGGCAAATGAAATTTATAAAATATTACTTAATTATGGGCAAAAAGTAGGAACGAAATCGATAAAGCGAAAAACTGACATTTTGACACTATCGTCTGGTGGATAAACAAAGAGCTCACCACTAAGCCGGGTGAAAGGTCGACACCAAAACCTGACGTGAAAAAACCAACTGCTCCATCACAACAGCCTTAGGGTCGACAGCTGTCAGTGAGGAGAAAAGTCAGGGACTAGAGGTTCAGGTTTAGGAAAGATTTCATCTCGCGCTACATCCATTTAAACAAAAGAGAAATGACAGGTTTATTTTCAAAGTAGCATTCTCTTGCTCAGTATTCAGATGCACTATTGCCCTCCTTAAACACGGAATTTTCATTTGAATAACACTGCATAATTGTTGCAACGGTTTAAACAAACCAATTATATTTGTGAACTTTAAAACATACTTTGCTGTAATGTAGTGTTTAAATTCGAGAAACTGCGAATTGTTCTGGAGTTTGTTTCTTTCACTGCAGGAAACGAGCATAGAGCTCGCGTGCATGATCCAAAATCAACATAACGGAGGAACTTGTATAGGGCATTGTTCTTTTAACTGTCACTACACTGTTTGAAATCATGAGGCACACTTCCTATCGTCCCAAGGCACAACAATGGTACATCTCGAACACTCTTGGGGAAAAATGAAAACATTTCATCAGGGTAGGACATACATTGAGGAGCATGAGTGACCTTTGCTTCCAACTTCTGGAAGTGAACTTTAATGTCCTGTTTTTACGAGTTTAATTCCGAGCTTCGAACGTGCTTCGAATCTTTATTGGTGTGAACATAATCAAACACGCACATTAGTGTTTTTAAATGGGTGTTTATAAGAAAATGACCTGAGCCGACGAATTTTTTTATCAGTTGAGGTGTGTCGTGTGGAGGGATATCCGACATAGGAAGAATCGACGTTTTGTCCATGTTTTACAGAAAACATGAACATTCAAACGGTGAAAATACATTGTACATGTATAAAAACGCATTGCACTTTATTGCATGTGTGGCCATGTTACTCGGGTTAAAAGTTCTTCATTTGCAGAACAAAAACGGATAAAGTATTTGTTTGATTTTTGATTGATTGAATGATTAATTAAATTTTCTCTCTTTTTTGGCTTGAAGGAGCAAATGTACTACCTGGGCGGGCCAAGGTTTCCCAAGTTTTATATTAAAAGTGCATATTTGTCATATCTGCTTTAAATGAAAAATCGAGGTTTCTCTCCATGCTTTTCGGAGTCTTGGAATTCATATCTACAGCGATTCCTGCCTGAACAAACCGCGATGATGTTTGTTTTGCGACCTTTGCCCTTGCACATAGCACCACCTCCATAAGGTCCTGATCGAATCGGCAGTGCTGGGGTTCAGGTGACTATCGCACATTAATCATTTCACCCTTTCTGTTGAGCCCTTTGCCAACTTGACATTCCCATCCCAGTTGACAGTGTGGTAACTTGTCAACAAGTACAAAGTTGATTTTCAATTAACCCTCTGGAAAGGGTACAGCAGCTGAACAGGGCACGTAATGGAGTTCGTGACGACAAAATTACAGATGTAGCAAGTTGTAAATGCCAATGAAACATGAATTTGTAGAGACCACCTAAAGTTTCGATGTAAGCCAAACACAGTACGATGGAAAGTGACACGACAAAGTACCCGACATCTGTCAACCCCGATTGCTAATGACTTGAATTTTTGAAAGGATCTTTATATTTATGCCTGAGGGAAATCCGCAGCCGGATAGACGCATGCATTGTGTTACTTGATGTTCACATCTGATCGTAACAAATAGTCTTTCTACGGATATTTTATGAATCTTTTGAAGCGGTCAAATTACATTTCTCGCCTTTCAAGCCGCGCAGGGTGACCCCGATACATGTACATGTATCTTGGATTGGATCATAAATTCACGCTCACTTGTAAACTCATTTCACATTGTCCATTTGTTTCTTCTCGGTCCATAATCCAACTGACATTGCCCTGTCTTCCGGCCCTTACAGGTTCCCAGACTGTTTTCTCGCAGCAGCATATTGAATCTTCCTTGAACTGTCGTCTGAGATTATATTAAATCCACGAAATACCTCCACGAAGTAACTGGCCAAATAGCACGATACATCGAATACGGAATACCACCACTAAATCCTTTTTACTGTAAAACAGCACGAAAGGAGACCAGCTTGGATACAGCACTCTCATGCGTACAGGAAAAATCACGATTGTAATTTTTTTTACAGAGCACTAACAATCCCGCTTAGATTAGAAACTAATAGCAAAAAGGATTTAATGGGATTTTCTGAAGAAAAAAATGAACGAAAACTGAAAACCTGAGAGAAAATGATCAAAATCGCACCCCTGTACATTTTCAATGTCCCCCTCACACTTCTTGCTGCCAAGGCCATTTGTGCACGTGCGTGCATAATAATGAATTATTAGTTAAATGTTTATGTATATCCCGCAAGAAATAAGACCGAGGGGTACCCCTCCCCCAACACGTCCAATCGCTATACACGCTCTAGACTGTTGTTACTTAACACATCCCCCTAGATGTCTGAAAAGAATTCCTTAGATTCCAGTGAGACAATGACCAACACAAAGCGGGGGGGGGGTCTCCGTCTCTTATCTTGCTTCATATGGGTCTATGGGTGCTTGGTGCTGAAGCGCAGCAGGCAGGTACGGTGTACAGGTACATGTACGCTTTCACCGCAAGTGAACGTTAAACGGAGTACCCAACAGAGGGCGGTATGACAAATTTATGGTTGGAGGTTTCCTTCAACGGGGTTAAGTTTCATTGTAAGTTATCAAAGCTATGGTGATCTCTGCGCAAATAGAACTTATTTGTCATCCGTAGCATCATTATTTGTATTATGAACTATTGTTGTTTGTGATATGTTGCTACCTGTCCCCATGGCTATGTAAACAGAGCATCAATACTTAACAAACTTATCACTGAGAAAAATCCGATCGATCATGAACATCGAACTGGGCAAACTGAATGAATCGATAACTTACACGTGAGTTATCAGATTAGGAAAATCTTCAAAGACCTTGCTGTGTGAATTTTAAAGACTGGAAAACCATTCCGTTGCGGGGAGGAGTGAAGCACCGTCGTCATTACTTTTCAGAACTCAGAAGATTTTGCTGAAATGCGGAAGAGATTGCCAGACAGATTGCCACGTGATGGCGCGTTGCGCATGGAAAGAGGTTCAGTTGAATTTTGCCTTGCAACTAGATGCCATTCTTTTACCCCCGTAAAACTCACAGGCGTCGCGAGGAAGGGGGAACCCTTGAGAAAAGAAAAATAAAAAGGAGAAGAAACCAATTTTCTCGAAAAACATGTCGAAATTGTACCCTTCCACCAATTTTCTCAAAAAGGTCGAAATTGCCCCCTTTCACAAATTTCCTCGAAAAAGTGGTCAAACCTGTCCCTTCCACTGTGAATGCTTTTGTCAATGCTTTGAAGCTGATGAGTGCTTTGCCTCCCAACCCAAAATAGTGCCCCCCCCCCAGAAAAATCCTGGTGATACCCTTGTCTGAGATCATTTTAGAAATTTTTCTTTGGTTTCATCATTTTTTAAATTCTTGAATTTAAAGCATTTCGACCGTGTTGCTCCTTTTTATTTCTCGGAGTTTCACAAGCAAGAAGCAGTCATTCCGTTCCAGCTTCTTGAGTATCGATTCAGTGGATCGAAAACTGCAAATGGCATCTTACTAAAAGAGTCAGGTATTTGCTTTTACAACTGCGGCTGTTCAGTCTATTCTGCTCTCCGTGTATTTGGGATCATTGCTTGAATTACACCGCATGCTTCCGTATTCCAACAAAATGTTTGAGATGTATTGCTGCCTACACTGAGCAAATAACCTTCGTGGATGTACATTAGGACAAGGGTTTGCAAACACATCACTCCAAAACATCTCCCAGCGTTCCAAAAGAAGCAGACATCAGGATTTGTTCACCTGTAACCCCACCAGCAAGATGACTTGTAAGTGTGAATCGCAGACAATGTGTGAGGTGTCTGTCAATGGAATCTGCCTCTGTATGGTATCTGCCCGCGGGATGGGTGAGAGTTGGGGGTAAATAGAGCCTCATTCTGTAGGACCAGCATGTTGGCACAACGGTGTTAAGCCGTTGATTATGTGGGCATGGATCATCAAGTGGCCTTAGTACCTATGGAAGTTATATAGCCACACACCCATCCATACATGCGTGGTGTATTATTCAACTTTTGCGGTACCTATACTTTCCACTCTGCGTCTGCTATTATTGATAATTGTCTCGTTATTACAGTTTTTGTGGTTTCTGGTTGAAAAGATCTGTCCATAAAAAGTGTAATCCTTTTTGTACGTTTCCAATACGAAGTCAGAGGTCATCGCCATGGAAACGGAAGAAAACGACATAAATAGTCCTTGACCTCGGAGTCGATTTATGTCCCCTGGGGAGGCGCTCTATAGAAAATGTATTCTGAACATTTTCTATTTATCTATTGTGTTGTATATCCATAACCAGAACAACTCGGTCAGGTGAAAGATTATGTCATTTACAAAGGTCTTAGCCATGTAAACACAGATGACAATAAATAAAATTAATCTTACTTTTGTGAACAGACGTCTTCTGTAGTGTCAGGTGTAGGAATGTGATTTGAATTTTGCAGTATTACGTTGTACTGGATGCACGAAACTTGATATCTGTCCAAAATGTGTATAGGCCTTTTGGCTTATTCCCTTTATTCTCTAGACTGAAATTCCTCAGTCTTCTAGCCGTGATCTATACTCACAGTAGAATTCCTAGTCAATACAATGCTAGATGCAACAAACTTATCATTAATTTTTGACTGATTTTCACGCAGTTGCAGTTAGCAGGCCCTGAACCAAATGCAGTTTAACTGTTGTCTGGAAAAAAAATGTTTTGCACGTTTTGTGTAATGCCCTCTTTGCACAGTCCTGGGAGGCCAATTACTTGCTCATTTTGTAACCATGACGACAGTCTAAACTTCCAGCCTCTGAAATGCAGTAATACACGTTGCTAATCCACACAAATACACTTCATGAATTTATTCAATTAGTACCTGGTAATACTTGTTTCCTCTCTAGCAACGAGGGCAGGTGCCCGACCCTGTGCTTCACTCCAACTGTTCTTTGAACAGCAACTAAAATAATCTTAATGTAATCAATAAAACGATACAAGGCTCGCGGTTTGGCGAATTTATGACCTACTCAGAAAATTTAGAGTGGGTACCAACTTCAAAGTCCGGCTTATTGAAATGCAGTGGGCCCGTTTGCTTAAAACTGATGGAAAATAACGACCATTTTCGATCAAATAAATGGCATCGTAACACCATAATGTCTAAGTAACGTACAGGCATTTTTATGAGAACATTTTTAATTCTCACTACCTTACCGGCAAGGCAGACATTCAAAATGAGATTTCTCAAGAAAATGCAGGGTACATTTTCATTAGGACCGCAATTTTCATAAGGGGTACAAAAGTTGAGGCAGTAAGAATTGACAGTGTCAGAATCCTTCCGGATCCGAGCTTAAGTTTTGCAATGAAGTCATGTCTGCACATTATTGAACTGTAATTCAACCCAACCATCCAACATGTTGGTGGACGACAAGACCAGTTCATTCTTCAGAGCTATAATCTCTCCATGCTTCCTGGAACATCATTCACACGTTCCTCAATAATCAATAGCGGTCAGCAGAATACGTACCACGGTCACGCTTTGTGGTCAGTGGCCGAGAGGTCAGAAGTCGAAGTTAAGTTTTAGCGAGCAATTTCAGCGAAGGTCTTGAGCCTTGACCGTCCTTACTCCTGCACTTCTACGGCCAATGGCTGAGAATTTTTTGTGAGATTCCAAGGGAAAGATGCGGATAGTGGTTAAAAGAAACCTGACACAGTTGATACAAGTGGGACAGATTAATTTTGTCTTCAAGGCTTTTATACCTTCTCAGTATATGTTCTAATCTTCCTACAGCAATTACAGCAAATGCAAGGGAGCACACGTGTTTTGTAACGTTAATAAATGGCATGTTAAAAGGGGACTCCAGCGGAAAATTGCAAACATAGGGGTATTGAACAACTATGGGCAACTTTCTGGAAGCAGGTTCAAATGATTGCCGGCTTGGCACTGTAAATGTGTACATTTTGTGAAAGTCACCCGGCACTTCACCATGAATTTCCTTACCTTGTTTAGAGACAACCTTGTCGTTCGTTTGTTCTAAAGTGGTGAAAATAACGTTGAAAGCGAATGTGTACTTACGCGATTTTCAGCATGTGCTGCACCAAATCCCGGTCCGAGTCGCCTTTGGATCCCACGGTAATCATTGTGAGGTTGAAGGGGGGTTCATTGACTACATCCTGGTTTTTGTTGTGTTTTTTTGGTCTCTCTTTTCTCGCGACAAGAACACTTGCTGTCCATCTGCCCACTTGGCTGTTCGTACGGTTTGTGGGTGTCTCTCACTCGATGAAAGTTGGGTCAAACAACTCGGAGATACTGCACTGAAGTCGCGACTGCCTTTCCCGCATGCCCCTCATGGCTCCATGGGACGGACGGCTCAGTGTACACGTTGTCAAGTAAACGGGACAAGCGTTTACACCCCTGTCGTGCCTACGTGCATCGTTCACGATTCACTCGACTATTATTGGCCTCTAGGTTTAGGCTTGTACCACCAGCCCGAGTGACCTTTTCCCCAAGTACATGTATATCACTTCACTAATTTCGAGAGTACAGGTAAAATGTGGCAACTTTAGAACAAGAGAGCACGTTGAATCGATGACATATTGTTGATAGACATAAACCCACGCTGTACGTCTCCATGCGGGAAAAATTCGAGCCTGGCAACTTTCGTTTATGCGTCTATTGACTTTTGAGCTCAGTTTTTAAGGGGATCACTGAAGCGGGACAACGAGCGGCGTGCTTCATGTCTACATGATATACCGGTACATCCTGGTTTATGGTGGGGGGGGGGGAGCAAAACAGGATTTTCTTTTTGAAAACGACAGTTATATTTCTTTCATCGTGAATAGAATTCCTACTTCCTTCGAAGAAAGGTAGTAATCCTTTTTCAAAAGTGTAAGTGCTTGTCAATACAAAACTTGTTTTTACTAAAAATGGTAACTCGTTCGGGGGGGACGCTGGATACGTCACCAAGGACAACCTTCGCAACCTATTATGACTGAGTAGATTGATCTACAGTTGAAAAAAATGAAGTTGGCTCGTTTCTCTACGATTTGATAGAGCTCCATTTTTATTAAATATACATGCAATAACGAAAACAACCAGGATTTCGAAGAATAAATGTAAATGCCACATTTGTGGAGTTTAGGATTCAGAAAATACTTTCGCGAGGTATTCATGTAACCTTGTGACATGATTCATTGTGCACACCATGATTCTCGGTCAAGGCTTAATATTACAACAGCTATACTAAGAAAATGACATCAACATCAAAGTTCGTCACTTTATAGTAAATTTCATTAGCGTGGCGAAATAATTTACACTGAAAGGTACATGATTATAAAATACGTGTTTTTTTTCTAAGCCACAACTTCACAAGTACATGTGTACCTATACTGCCAGACCTTGGAGGTGGCCAGACCTACACACATGATAACTTGTTCCATAATTGTGATTACATGTTGAAATACAGATATAATGGGCAGGGTTAGCAATGTTTTTATATACAAAAATCACTTCTGTTTTAATCAAATCAGAGGTGTACTTTATACTCTATATATGACCTACGCTCATGATAAATGCAACTTACATGTTAATTTACACGAGCAACAAAATAAAGCGTCAATTTGTTTAAGGGAGAGCTGTTTCCTGCATGCATCATGGCTGTTTTGACAGGCCCCTATGTGAAAGCGAAACTCATTATAAAGTATCACTGAGCTATGCCTTGGAAATAATATTAACTTACACTTTATCAGGTTTGGAAAGACATGTTGCACTTTGCATGAGGACTTAAAACAAATTTGAAGTAACATGCTGCTAACATGTCTGTATGTGTAATACAGAATATTTTAATCTCTTTATCTTTAAGAAGGAACCCTGAAATGCATGTTACACGATGTTGCATTTTTATGGAAGGAAAAGGACACATTATTTCACAAATGCATATTTGATAACAAGAAAGACATTTAATAGGGCTTGTCTCATGCATCGAGCGAAATTTAAAGGAAAAGGATGGCTACATCTCGATTGAGGTACGGGGAATACACTGTCAAGTCAAAAGGATAACGGGTCTGAAAGGTTCATCCCCAAATTAACAAGACGCCGCTCTCGGTTCACAACCGGCCTAGCTCTTAAATTCAGTTTAGAAGTTACGTTGTAAATACATGTATTTGACGTCATTTCAGGTGACTAAAAGCAGCCTACATGGTGGACTGGCTTCCCATGTAGCGGAACAAGACGGATTCAAGATGATGTGATGGATAGCTAGGCCGACATTAACTTTTGTATTGTTATGTGCTTCAGGATTTTTACAGCCAATTAATGTCAGAAGAGGAAATGCATGGGTACGTACTTAGAGCTTTTCTTAATCCCCAATTTAAAGCTTAAAGCTTGTCTCTACCTTTCGTACTGAGGCCCCTTCTTTTTAATTTGTGCGAATGAAATGTGACAGTTTTTCAATGAGATCAACGAAATGTTTGCTACAAACCACGGTTATTTTACCTGTTGAATCTTGACTGCAGGACCATGGTACTTAAAGCGATACTATAACCACGTACAATCCTCCAGAGTTTCGCCTGGTTCTTCATCTGCGGATAATAGTAATAACAATTCATTTATAAAAGCGCAAATTTCAAATAGATTTGTTCAAATGCACTGTACAATGAAAACATTTAAACATGGTTGAGCTGATGGCATACAAGGGCGCCTCGGGCAGCCGCCAAATGACCCACATTCACCAACATCGGTAAAGGGGAGACAGTAAGAAGCAGTTATAGTTTTAGAGTTGGGAGGAAAACCCCAGAGGAATAGTCTGGGTAAAACGCAAGGAGTCAGGTAGGGATTGAAAAACCCAATCCACATGTAGACCGGGCCGGGAATCGAACCTGGGACCACAGAAGTGGAAGGCGAGGAAAGAACTACCTTGCCAACCCGACTCCCAAGATGATGAAGATTGTTTGTTATGGGTAGCATCGGCGGTGCTCGGCTCCATGACACTGAAGCTGCCTTTGGATGTTACGCTCAATATAGGCGTCTCGTTTCGCCCAATGGAAGAGGTGGTAGCTGAAGACTTCATCTGAAGGTGGATTAATGGTTCGAACTTCGAGAGGCACACTGGTCTTTGTGATGTACTCGGGAGATCTTCGATATTAAGTGATGCACTGGTGTGACTGCTCGTGGGGTCTTGTACAAGTCTTTGGGACTGGGCCTGTCTTCTGCCAGCTAGGTCATGCCCTGCCTCTGGTAAAGGACGGGGTTGTTGCATTCGAATCTGCTTATCAGACTGAGATTGAGCAGTGAGGGCGTTTCGGTGGTAACGGCAAAAATCCAAGCATGAAAATGCTTCCACAAATGCAGCTTGGCGATCTGCATTGGCTACACTGTATATGATTGGGTCGATGGAACAATTGATCAGATACAACACTGAAACCATCTGATTGAGGTGAGTCAGGTGAGTTTGACTGATTGGATTAAGATGGTCTGAAATTTCGCTGACGAGAGTCATTGCAGACGACACGACTACCAACAGAGTATAAAGGAAGAACACAGCTGTGTTCAAGATTACAATCCGAAGTATTCTGTCAACACGGATTGACGAAGTACAGTTTAGTTTTGTAGATGCTGGCCTTGCAGCCCTTACAATGGAGGTGTAGAGGACAGCATTGACGGACAAAATTGTTGTGTGAACGGCAAGTTTGACAGCCGAACAGACCAGCTTAGTGTAAGATTCAAAATATCCAAGAATAAAGTGGGAAACTCCAAGAGACAGAGTAAACGCCCAGAGCCCCGTCGATATCTTGGTTGCTCTCGTCTTCGTGGCTCTCACACGGAAATGTAGTGGCTTAGTCACAGCGAAGAACCGGTCGAATGCCAGCGCGGTTACAAAGCTGTAAGTTGTGAAACGACAGGTGAGATGAGCCGAAGACAGAATTTCGCTGGTAATGGTTTGACGCCAAAGCCAAATCTTGGAGAGCGCAAGGACAAGAAATGAGGCATCCGCTGCTGCCAAGTTGACGAGATAGATGTAGATGATGGAATGCATGGATTTTACACGAACGACCACGTACAGGAAGATGAGATTCGTGAGCAAGCCAAAAGGAACTAAGAAAAAAGTTGCTTCATTGCTGGCCCTCAATTCCACTTCAGGAGGCAAAGTAAGTGGTCTGATAGAACTATGATTTCCATGGTTGTACCCATACATGACTTTATCTTTCTCAAATTAAAACTGCTGTTTGATTCTGAGAACAAAATCGAGTCAGATATTTCTAATCATTCAGGGGCGTGCGTGGGTTTTTATACTGCGTTTTAAAAACATTATTATCGACACTAGTAACTCCAACAATCAAGCTACAAAGCATGAAATGAAACTGTGACTTAAACTTGCTATGACGCAAATCAACGTGGATGCTGCCATGACAACAAAGAGCTGTATAGCTCAAATCTTAGAGCACACTGTAATCGAAAGTACTGTGGCAGTTGATTAACATTGGAACCGCACTTAAAATGAATCCACAGCAAAGACAGAAAGTGCTCATATTTACATTTAATAAATCCATTTCACATTCATATGACGATACCTTTTCACCAATTTCCCTTTCACTTTTTTTTCATTTGGTTTCCTCTGTAATTGTCACTGTGTTAAAAAACTTCAAGGTTCTTATGCACACAGTTTCTATGTGCTACACCACTGGTTTTTTGGTTTCATGGAAATCTGCGTTTAAGATAATTGAAATGTGGTGTGATGTTTCCATCTCTGATGATGTTTCCATCTCTGGTAGGTGTTTCACCTGTTTTTCCTTCCACCCTTGAGTACTGCGCTCCAGTGTGGCCCTCCGCTGCTGCCTCCCATATCCATCTAGTTGACAATGTTCT